GCCATAATATATTGAGTCCCCCTGCCCTTTTAATAAAAGAGGGAGGGGGTTCAAAATATTATGGCCATAAAATATTGACTCCCCCTGCCCTTTTAATTTAAGAGGGAAGGGGTTCAAAATATTATGGCCATAAAATATTGACCCCCCCTGCCCTTTTAATTTAAGAGGGAGGGGATTCAAAATATTATGGCCATAAAATATCTCGTCCTCCTGCCCTTTTAATTTTACGGGGAGGGGGGGGGTTCAGAATATTATGGCCATAAAATATTGAGTCCCCCTGCCCTTTTGATTTAAGAGGGAGGGGGGTTCAAAATATTATGGTCATAAAATATCGAGTCCCCCTACCCTTTTAATTCATGAAGGAGGGGGTTCAAAATATTATGGCCATAAAATATTGAGTCCCCCTACCATTTTAATTCATGAAGAGGGGGGGGGTCAAAATATTATGGCCATGAAATATCGAGTCCCCTGACCTTTTAATGTTTTAGGGAGAGTGAAGAGAAGGGCTTCAAGATAATATGATCATAAAATATTGATGACTTTATTGTACGTGTGTGTGGTTTCTTTTCATGTTGAGTATGATAATTTTACATCATAATGATTGCCTCATATTGGATTTCTGTTACACTTTTGAGTGGTGGGATGTTAAATATCATGTCTGTAAAAAAATATTGACCACGCCTCTTACATTTTATTTTTCATTTGTGTAAAATATCGTTGCTGTAAAATATTGACCAACCCTCTTACATTTATTTTTTCATTTGAGGTAGGTGGTTCAAGATTGATGTACCTCAGTGAATTAAAAGAGTGGTTCAAAATAATATTGCTGGTAAATATTGTACCACAATTAGAAATCCATAGGTTTTCATTTGTTTAATGTTGCTCTCTCCCTTCATAAAACACCAAATATTCCAGTTATACTCTTTGGGATGAACTATTGAATTTCACAATAATTCAATAGTCGGATAAATAGTGGATATATGTGGCTGATAACTGATCAGCTTTTTGTTTCTTTCAATTTTACCATTCTTAAACATAACATGAATAAGTAAAGACAAAGTCCATTTCGTTATAATGAATTAATTTAAAGCATCTCGTTTAGATAAGTCATAACAAAAAACTGGTAACATTTAAGAAATAAACAGAAACACTTAAATAGAAGTACAAACATTAAAAAATAGTTTTTTTTTCTCTTAAGTCATTCTGCTTAAGTCATTGTGGGCATGTCTTCTTTTTGATAAGGAAGATTGTAGCCATGTCTTTTTAATGATGATGATTGAGGTCATGATATCTTAATGATGATGATTGCGGCCATGTCTTGTTAATGATGATGATTGTGACCATGTCTTCTTAATGATGATGACTGTGGTCGTGTCTTCTTGCCGCTGATGATTGTGGCCATATGTTCTTGCTGATGATGAGTATGGCCACTTGTTCTTAATAATGATTATTGTGGCCATATCGTCTGGCTGATGATGATTGTGGCTATGTCTTCTTAATAATGATATTGTGAACATGTCTTTATGATAATGATTTCGATCATGTCTTCTTAATAATCATTGTGACCCTATCTTATTTTTGATGATGATTGTGGCCATGTCATCTAAATGATGATGATTGTAGTTTTGTCTTCTTAATGATGATGATTGTGATCACCTTTTCCTAATGAAGATGATTGTGACCATGTCTTCTTTCCGATGATGATTGTTCCCATGTCATCTTTATGATGATTGTAGCAATGTCCTCTTAATGATGATGTTTGAGGCCATGTCTTCTTAATAATGATGATTGTGGCCATGTCTTCTTAATGATGAGTTTAGCAATGTCTTCTTAATGATGATAATTGTGGCTATGTCCTCTGGCTGATCATGATTGTAGCCATGTCCTCCGGCTGATGATGATTGTTGCCATGTCTTCTTAATGATGATGATTGTGACCATGTCTTCCTTAAGCTGATGATTGTGGTCATGTCTTCTTAATGATAATGAATGTGGTCATGCCTTCTTCAGGATGATAATTGTGATCCTGTCTTCTTAGTGATGATGATTGTGGCCATGTGTTCTTATTGATTATAATTGTGGCCATGTCGTCTTGCCAATGATGATTGTGGCCATGTCTTCTTAATAATGATGATTGTGACCATGTCTTCTTTACTTTATGATGATGACTGTGGCCATGTCTCCTTAATGATGATGATTGTGGCCATGTTTTCTTAATGATGATGATTGTGGCCATGTCTTCTTGCCAGTGATAATTATAGCCATGTCTTCTTCATGATGATGATTGTTGTCATCTCTTTTTGCCGATGATGATTGTGGCCATGTATTCTTGTTGATTATTGTGGCCATGTCTTCTTTATGGTGATGATTGTGGCCCTGTCTTCTTAATGATGATGATTGTGGCGATGTCTTCTTAATGATGTTGATTGTGGCCATGTCACTTTTAATGATGATTGTGTCCATGCCTTTTTAATATGATGATTCTGGCCATGTCTTCTTAGTGATGATGATTGAGGCCATGTCTTCTTAGTGATGATGATTGAGGCCATGTTTTCTTAGTGATGATGATTGAGGCCATGTTTTCTTACTGATGATGATTATGGCCATGTCTTCTTAATAATGATGATTGTGGCCATGTCTTCTTAATGAAGATGATTGTGACCATGTCTTCTTTATGATGATGATTTGGCCATGTCTTCTTGCTGATGATGATTGTGATCATGTCTTCTTGCTGATGATGATTGTGGACATGTATTCTCAATGATGGTTGATTGTGTCCATGTCTTCTTAGTGATGATGATTGTGACCATGTCTTCTTAATGATACTGATCGTGGCAATGTCTTCTTGCTGATGATGAATGTGGTCATGTCTTCTTAATGATGATGATTGTAGCCATGTTTTCTTAATGATGCTGATTGTGTCCATTTTATGTAAATGATGATGATTGTGGTACTGTGTTCTTAATTGTGATCGCGGTCATGTATTCTTAATGATAATGATTGAGGTCATGATATCTTAATGATTATGATTGTGGTCATGTATTCTTAATGATGTTGTTGTGGCCATGTCTTAATGATGTTGATTGTGGCCATGTCATCTTAATGATGATGATTGTGGTACTGTCTTCTTAATGGTGATGATTGTGGCCATATATTCTTAATGATGATGAGTGTGGTCATGTTATCTTAATGATGATTGTGGTCATGTCTTCTTGAATTATGATGATGATTGTGTCGAGTCAAAATATTCTTAGTATGATAGGATCCTTCTCAATTGCTGCAGAACTGAAGCGTAATGATTTTATTTAGTAGTCTTATATCATCAAGCCAACGTCTAGTATAAAAAAAGTCATAACGCTACAGTTTGTAGCTTACTTCACGGTTACTTTGTAGGGAATGTCGACAGCTTGTACAGGTCGCTCTCCATCATTCTCCAACACCATATGAGAAGATTGCTAAAATTCAGTCGTATAATTGTAGTTTTGTCCTATTGACTTTATCTCAATACATGTACTAGAATTTTCAAGTGCTCATTTAGAGCAACAAAAAGTGTTGGACAGCATTTAAATGAGTACTGTTCACAGGAAAATTTTCGCCCCGATTTATTTTCGCCCTCGTCACAAGTAAGCGAAAATAAAACGGGGCGAATTCAAAGAACACAGTATATAAACTTCTTACAGAGAACTGTACATGTGACTGGGCGAATTTAAAAACGGGGCAGAATTGTTAGCAAGTGTAAAAAGGCGAAAATAACACCGGGCGAAAATAACCCTGTATACAGTTTATACATGTACTGTAGTAAAACTGAGTAGTAAGTAAGGGGCACATCCCTTCCCCTTTTAAAGGCCTGCAGCATTCACATTTGATAAAATGAAGAAATCATATTTATTACTGTATTGTTTGAAAGACGGTATTCAGGGTTTAATTATTTTAAAGTTTCAGGACAGTGCGCTTCCTTTTTTTGTTATGTGAAAGTTTTGGATAATTTAATTTATTGAATCACTGTTCAAGCCAAAATTTACCAATCTCTCACCAGAGGGCGTTTTACGCTCCGCTCCGACAACCAGAGCCCGCCCTCTGGTGAGAGATTGGAAATGTACAAGATTTTTTAATCTTAAAGAAATCGATAAAACGAACAAAGAAAAATATCAATAATTGAAACAAAATACATGTGTTCTAATACCTGGATAACATCTTTTTTTTTAAATAGCAATTTATAATTGGGCTTGATAGGCGTATGACAGTTACCTGTTTAAAGGAGTTTGTAAAAGTGCTTTTTTAAAAAAGCTGTGTACATATATATAATATACTCCTAAATTCTCTGCACATTAGACACAGAAAGAAGAGGCCATCTTCAACTCGTCAAAACTGCGATCACCTTACAGATGTGTCTAAAAGTCTTGGCAACACCAGATTGTACAATACATACGTACAGACGCGACTCCCTTACTCCTTTCAATAATTTTTTTTTTGCAGTTTACTACGGAAAGTCTGTTTAAATTGTCAATAAATAGGTCAAAGGTCGTTGTCAACTCTGATCCTTGCAACCTCTGTTGAACAGCATAGTACAGTACATTTATAAAACAACATTTCGTCAAGGACAGACGAACAGATAGGCGCATGGCCGTAGGAGCCGATATATATTATAGTACTAGTACATAATATAGAAAATAGCTACTATGCCCCAAAATGAAATATATGGTTGTGCCCCCTCCCCCTCCCAACCTAAATTGCTTCCTACGAGCCTGAGGCGTTCATTAAATATAAAGCTTGGTTTTGTTTCTCAATTAAAAAAAAAGAATTTATCATATTTGTAAAACTGTTCTTATTTAAAAGTAGTTGAACAACAATAAAAATATTAACATGTACAACGTTAACTGTAAACTGTATTAAAATACATGCATTAATGTTTGAAGATCGAATGAATTGGTATTTTCAGTGTTGCAATGGATACAGCATTTATTGTCAAGTTTACTTCAATTATTAAAACTCATTATTATGTAAGACCCGTACTTTGCTAGAAAAGAAAACAGATAAAACCAGGCAGGGTTATAGTTCCCCTAAGCACGTAGTCCTTAGGAGCACCTCAACAACAGAATAGGGGTCACAGTTCGAAGAGGGTCGGCGGTCCTCCAAATATCCGTTACCGTCCTGCGCCACCTGGCGGGGAATTCGGATGCTGGCGCCTCTGTTGGCTACACCAGCAGAAAAGTCACTTATCGTTGAAGTCTCGTGAAGTCCGGTAAGTCGTCGTTTGTTGTCCTCTCCGGCTTTCGGGTCGTATGCCCTGATGTGTTTGTCGTGACACTTGGACAGTTTGTCGATCGCTTCCTCAATGTGTCTGAAATAGTAATCATAGCATCGGTAAAGGACAATTCACTTGATGCATGACAATATCATGGGATATTGAATTATGGGTTAAACTATTACAAGTTTGTGTGGAAACAGCTGTTTTACGTCAATATGGACATGAAAATGTATTTACAAAAATAAAATATTTGATTATTTTACACGGACAATTATATTGAACTTTACAATAGGAAGCCCTTAAACGTCTATGAAATCTTACTTGATTCCTCCGTCTTCTCTCATTTTCAGAGTACTGTAGTTAGTGTGTGCGCCTGCGCCGTTCCAGTCTCCTGGCATAGGTTTGGGATCGAATGTGACGAGAACATTGAAATCTTCCGCCACTCTGTTTAAAATATACCTGGCCACCCAGAGTTCGTCTCCCACAGAAATACCCTCACAGGGCCCCACTTGAAACTCCCACTAAAAGAGAAATGAAGAGAAATGAAATATTTAAAATGTTAATGACCTCCATGGCTCACCATATCCGGGGAACATGATCATTTAAAAGAAGAGTAGCTTTCTAATCGTTTTTGCTTTCGATGCCAAGTGGTTGTTGATAAAAATTCAAATACCCTATGTACCCAATCGCGAATGTTTTCTATGCCTATACTTTTCCCAAAACAAAGTGGGCGTAACAGATTCCCTTTCGCTAAAGAAAACTTGAATACAGCTTTTGTTGAAAAATACAAATCAGAAAAGCTCACCTGAGTCGCTGGCTCAGACGAGCTAAAAAGGGGATTGAGAGGAAATCCATGTCACACGTGATGAACATGTAACAATACCTTAGACTATTGAACCCAACATTTATTTATCAGTGAACTTTTAACATATATGATTATATAGACGAACTACGTTTGTATGCATTGATAAGATAAATGTATAAATATTTCACTTTGACCTATTTGCCTTTGACCTACCTGTCCTGGCATGACCTCTGCGTTACAGCCGGCTATTTTGATGCCTGCGTACAGGCAAGCTCTGTAGTGTGCTTCTACAATGTCCCTCCCAAAGACTTTGTTTGATCCAACACCGCAGTAATATGGTCCTGTAAAACAAGAGGCGTTTTAGAATTAATGTGCGGAGGTGTTGGCTAAAACATTCCAATACATCGTAAACAGAGGAAGAAAAACATTTGATTTACGGAGACACGTTACGCAATAAGGAAGAGGGTCGTCTTTGGTACAAAAAATTCACTTAGATAAGTCAAGATTATCGATGGCACAAACTATTGCAGTATTTGCTATCAAGTCAGAAGTTAAGATATTAAAGTCTAGTAATAGTGGTGGTGGTGGGGCGGGGAGTAGGTAGAAATTAATGACCAAATGTGCCAAATGACTGAATCACCATCCATGTTAGCTTCCCAAATAGATGCACTGCGAATCTTCATCCTATATCCGAAAAACACTGATTTTTTTTGAAAGTTTTTCATTGTTGGGGTGAGAAAATCTCACTGTTGGTTTTTTTTTTTAAATATGAAAATGTAATAATGTTATACATGTAAGAATTTCGCACTTCCTTAGTTTCTTTCTACTATAGATTTTCAAGAATTTTGTATTCCTTTTTGGTCTGCGACTTATATTTACATTTTCTACAAAGTTTGGTTAAACATAAAAAAAACTACAAAATCACTGCCAAGCAGAGCATCCCCTTGCAAAAATGCATATCTATAAATCAATGCTGTATTCGACATCAGTTCCGTCATGTCCGTTACGCACACAAGGACACTCTAACCCACCCACCACACACGCAAGCGTGTAACTATACCCCCTCCAAATCCGTCGCGAGGAGGTGATAAAAAGAGCATTAACTAACCCTGTGGCCCGGGAAATCCGTTTTTCGGCCATCCGAACGGATACTTGTCGATGTCCAGAAGTGTATATTCCTGCTCTATCCCGAACCAAGGCTGATCCTCTTTGACCTTTTCACAAACCTCATTACAAGATTTACGGTTGTTGCTTTCTGAAAATAAATAATAATTTATTGATTCAAACTTTTTTTCATTCAATGAGCAGTTCTGGTTCATCAAGTTGTTTGCTTTATTTCACGTGGTCAGAGATCACAAGGGTTTGTAATGCTGACCAGCTGTGAACTCTCAAGTGCTTGTTTTCCTGAAAGTACGTGAGAAATATATAAACAAGAAATATATATAAACAGTATTGTTTGCATTGATTTACCCGCTGGTTTGTTGTTGTATTTGTACACCTCACACAACACTAGTTTGTTTTTGCCAAGTCGGAAGGGATCATTGTACAGCGCCACGGGGTGGAGGTACATGTCCGAATTGGAGCCCTCGGCCTGAAACGTACTGGAACCATCGTAATTCCAAACCGGGCACTCTGATTAAAAAAAAAATTTCAATAAGTATTTAAAAGAAAATGAGTCAGTTTTCATATCCATTTATCGATATTTCGGTCATTCAAGGGGCGTAGTCTTAATTTTTAGCTATACTGGTCAGAGACCAGATGAGCTTATGCGATAGTTATGCGTCCGGCGTCCGTCCGTCTGTCTAGCTGTCTGTCTGTCTGTCTGTAAACAATTTTTCAAAATGCTACTCCTCCTACAGTTTTGGTCTGATTTCAGTATAACTTGGCACACAAGTAAACTACTTTTAGATACATAATTCTGTATATCGGTTTTTGATTTCAATGAACGGTCTTGCCGTTGTTACTAAAAATAGATTTTTTTTTTAATTCATTCAAAATGCTACTCCTACTACAGTTTTGGTCTGATTTGAGATCAATTTTCAATATAACTTGGCACACAAGTAGACTACACTAAGATACATAATTCTGTATATCGGTTTTTGATTTCGATGAACGGTGTCGCCGTTGTTACTAAAAATAGAATTTTTTTGAAAATCATTCAAAATGTAACTATACCCCCTCCAAATCCGCTACTCCTCCTACAGTTTTGGTCTGATTTCAATATAACTTGGCACACAAGTAGACTACACTAAGATACATAATTCTGTGTATCGGTTTTTAATTTTTGATTAATGATGTTGTCTTGGTTACTAAAAATAGTAATATCTGTGAAATACTTTTAAAATGCTACTCCAAATACAGTTTGAGTCTGATTATAATATAATCTGGAATGCAAGCAGACTACACTGAGATACATAATTAACAGTTTTGTGTTTTTGATTTTGATGATTTATGTTTCCATAGAAATTTAAATTGAAAATTCAGTAAAATTTTATTAAAAGCTACACCTACAGCTGTAGTCTTATTGCAATCTTGCCTCACTTAATCAAGGATCATTATTCTATTCATTGCTTTTGTAAAGTTTTAAGTCCCAACTGCTACTTTTCTTTTCTTTATTATACCGGTTAAAAACAAACCAATAGAGCTACAGTCACATTTTACATTTTGTGTTTGACTGTGGTTGAAATGATGAAATTTTTAGTGAGTACGTTTCGTGTTAAAAACATCAATTTTTACCTTTGGCGTGTTTTGGTTCGAAGTCCATAGTCTTACACTTGGAGCGGATCCCCTCCCCCGTGCCGTCTATCCAGATGTACTCACACATCACCCTGTCCTCGGGCTGAGGGAGGGTCATGTAACGTTTCAGGACCACCTTCTCCGTCAAAGAAACCATTGTTACTTCTGAAAGTTTAAATTTAGTGATCAAAATTAAGAAGAAAATAAATGTTCATTTTCTTTCCTTTGGCATCACCATTTTACTTTACGGTCTTTCTCCACGGCCCCACCCCGTTTCAAAATTGAAAAAATAATTTAAATGCATGTATATCGATAAATCTTTTCCTTTTTTCTTAACAATGAACAAATTAAAAAAGGATGTATAGATATTAAAAAAAAAAAAATAAACTGACTTGCCTATGTGATTTTACACCCTGATGAAAAGTAACCTCCGATCTGGAGAGGGACTAGATAGAAAAAGAACGTATTTGATGCTGTTCACGACTGATAAAGAAATAGGACGCGATATCAGGTGTCAGCTGTTGTGATGCAACTTGTCTGCACCCCAAAGTTATTTTAATTTACAGGTTTATCTGTTTTAACCTTTAAAAGATAGCCCCAAAACATCGAGTCTAGACTTAGCGAAAGGATAAATGAATTTGGTATATATACCGTTACATATATATTTCCTACAGCTGTCCTAGTCGTATATATTACATTGACCAGTTGTATAATGATCGATCAGCTGATCGAAAACAATTACCTGTGATGTCAACAGAAGACATGTAAACCGGATTCAGACGTGTGCATAGTCAGATTTATACATGTCAATGAATGTGTAATATGTAAATGAATAACTTTATGTACTACAAAGTTAATTCAATCAAAATAAAATTTACAAATAATTTTACACCACCTGTGTTTTATTTCATTTGTGTGTAAATAATATGTAAACTAAAGTTAAAATTTGTATATATTTTTTAATTAAACAATACCTGATTACTATATAACTGCCAAGTTCTTTGTACATAATTGCACACTAAATAAACTGATAAATATATTTTGGGTCCGAAAAACAGTGGGAGTGGGGCAAATTTTCCAATTTATAAAGCACAATTTTGTTTTAAAATAATTTTTGCATTTGTGCCCATTCAAAATTAAAAGGTTTATTGCATACAAAAGATGTGTATCTTTTACTGAAAAATCAATTTTTATCACGTATATAAAGATATATAGATGGTAAAACTTTTGTATATCTTTTCTAAAGGTGGTATATTCTTAGAAACTGATACTTACATTTGTTCTTTCTGTCCTAAATTCACTTCCAAGAAAACAAAGTTTGTTTTTATCAAAAATCCCTGCTACCTTATCAGCTACTTATATACAGAACATACATAAGTAGATCAACAGAGTGAATCACATGTAAACTATAGGAAACCAGTAATTGTACATGAACGAATTAATGAACTCACATCAACTCTTCTTTATATAACCTGAACTGTTTCGATTGAGTAATTATTAGTTTAAACCCCCCCTAATTACCATATTCAAACACGGATGATGCAATGAGTTATTTTTAAATTTTCTGAACACATGTCAAATTTTTACCCCAACTCGTATGCGTTTATCACTTCCGCATTTTTCTCTTTTCAAAACTTTTGACTGTGCTGTAGATATGAGCTTATTTTACAATTATATTCACTCCTTCGAGGTAACGAAAATGTCTTCCTGGAACCCCTATGATGTAATTTTACAAAGGTTTGTTTTTACCTTTTACAAAGAATTCTTTGTGTGGGACATGCCTCGGATAAAATAGATTTGTGTCGTAACTTACTATCAATGAACAGTGGATAGGATTACCTCGATTTTTATAAATGGAAAAATGACAAACAATGAGAACTTTTTCATAATTCTGTAGAGACTTTATTATGACGTAAAAGATGATCACCTTACTGATTCTTAGATAACTTTGATACAAATGTTTTTAAGTTTAGTCCTGTTAAGCAAAAACGATATTCCATATTTTGCAAACGAACTCCTATTAAAAATAAAATGAGTCAAAGTGCATGTATTAGTGAGGTACTGGCCTGATTGTCGTTTTTAGAACAGAGATGCCATGTTAAAAGTCAGACTACCAATTTTTGCTTCAAACTTTTCTACATGTTGCTTGGACACTGAATTAGAAGTATCTCTCATTTCTTATTTCACCACTTAAATATCAGAGAAGGAAAAAAGTGTAGTGAACATTTGAAAAAAGGAGAAATATATGAGGGGTTCGGAGAGGGGTCAAACTAAAAAAGAACCTTCAGTTTTCTCTCTGTTAGGGGGCGGGAAGGGGAAGGGGTTAATTTTAACGATTTTAAAAGAATTAAAAAACACAAAATAGAGAAAAAATGCTGTAATAAAAGGTCATATATATCATTGATTTAATGGAATGTGATTCTAAAGTCTAAATGGATTTAAAGTAATTTTTAAAATACTTGACTTTTTGAGGTCAGGGCGAAATATCTGAAATATTGCGAACAATTCTTTCCTTATAATGTTTTATATATAAATGATTTGTCTTTTATTTTATTATTATATTTTTAAAGAGTATATTTACAAAGCAATTTCAAAACTCCGTCACGTCAATAATTACGCGTTGTATTCCTCAACAGTGAAAGAGGAATAACTCTAGATCTTATCGCGGATTTGGTTTAAAACGGGTCTTGCTAATTGAGTTATCTTTCTTAAGTTGTTGGAATCGTCTCATGTCACACTTTCAACTATTTGATTAATATGATAATTTTATTGAATGATAAATTTATCTCCCACAGAACTGTGAGAGCCTTGTCAATGAAGAAACAAAAAAAAAAAAAAATATATATATATATATATATAAAACAAAACAGCCCCCCCAATTTTACATATACTACCCATCATTAGGAATCAGTTCTTTAATCACCTCAGTGCGTACATATATAAAAATTTAATTTTTATTAATGTTATAGTATGTTTTGAGTGGAAATAGATAAATGACTAAAATTGGTTTTTAAAATAATCGTTGTATTTACACCAGAATATTCCTCGAGGTTATTAACACTGCATAAATCTGATGATCAGAATCTATAATGATATACGATGGAGAGTGAGCACTATACATCAGATAGGGTCACGTGACACTGGTAATGATTTGGTCTCCCCTCATTTGCGTCCAAGTTTATGTGTCTGTAGATATAAGATATACAGGGTATACTAAAAGTCATCAATGCATCTCAGATAAAGATATTGATAAAATACTGCCAGACGTCGAAAGCTTGAATCCAACTACCAGATCCTCATAGACGAAAGTCTCATTAAGGCGAGATTGATTTGTTGAAAAAACATGGACCCTTCTCGTTAGTGAAATTTTGGCTGTGACTTTTCTCGTTACACTTACTGCCTTAGTGCTAATTAAAACAGAGCGCCCAAATGCACCCTCATTATTCTTAGATCCTATTCCTCTAGGGGTCGAAAATCTCACCTTATTAAAATAATTGGCTCATTTTATAACATTCTATTCCTGATTTCTCTTGATTTATTCAATTGCAAGTACTTTTGATTTCATTTTGGTAAAAATCACCACTGAAGACAAGGTGATCATTTTAGAATTGTCCCTTTTTCTTGTGTAATATTGTAGCTCCGGATCTATTATACAATGTTCAAGAAGCACCATCACAACTGAAATTGAAGGTAAGTTTTGGGTAATGTTTGATATACTAATGTATAGATATGTATGACCTCTCTTCTTCCACATATACCCCTTTTTATTGAAATATCCTAAACAAATTAGAGTAAATAAGTCATTGATTTGACGGGATGTACCATCCAACTGACATCATCTGTCGTTTGGAATGCAATCAAGTTGTATTTGCGATAATTCAACAAATAGTACTCAAAATATCTGAGCTTTAAATTTTATAAATTCATTGTCATGAATTCAAGGGAATTACATGTATATATTTTACAATGAAAAAAAATTACTAGATCTATATTTTATTACAGCTAGATGAAAAGATTACAGATACTGAATTAGATTTTGTAACATATTATTCTTCTGTAATTTTATTAGGGATTCCAATGTACAACTCATTGACATTCATCAAAAAATATTTTGTTGATGAAATTTTATTGAAATTCCTTAAAAATAGTTGGTCAGGATCTTCAAAATTTAAAGTATGATTTGGAACAACTCAGTATAAAAAATTCCGACACTGTATCGAATTTTCATGGAAAGAAGATGGTTTAAAAAATAAAAGAAATAATCTACTTGAAAAACTGGATAAAGTAAGAGAATATTCACAGATTAATTGTAACATAGTTACATGCATATAGAAGTAGAGATAAAAAAGCTATATATGAAATGGAAACAAAGATATGGAAGGGGGTGGTTAACTTTTTTCAATGGGATACCCTATTTATATGTACCTTGTATGAATTTATAAATTGAGTTTTTCTTCGAAAACTCGCAACAAAAACTATAATAATCACAAAATTCTACTCTGTCCAAATACCGGTATGCTAAAGTATTTCCAAATAGTATTTGAAAAAGATTGCATATATATGAAAAATCATGGAAAATGGTCAGTTATTGCTTAAAATCAAAACGCATCGCATTCTTTGCGGAAAAAACAGAACTCCTTTCCAAAAACCAATGCCAAGGAGGATTAATGTAAAGTAATGTACATGTATATGGGTGATAGTATTTTAGAAAACTTAAACTGTTGTCTAGATACTGAAAGTTAACAAACGTTTTTGAACATCTTCTGCCATACAGCTTCGTATTGTTCATGTCCTCGTGAATTCTTACAAATAAATAGAGGATATTTAATGTTTTGTAGTTGAAAGTGGAATTTATTTCACGATTGGGCCAGGATTTTTGATTTTTCACGAGTGCGAGCGGTCATGCAGATGTTTATTTCAGATTATGGTTCAGGTGAGATTAATATACAAATGCCCTTTTCCTTTCAAACATATTACGACATCCTTGTTGAGTGGTTGAGTTGTTTTGTTTAACGGAATGTTGATGCTACTTGTACATTTGTAATCTGTTTAGTATATTTTTTGTAAATCTATAATGTTTTGTAAGGACAATTGAAACAATTTTTAAAAATTTTAAATTGGAAGAAAATAGTCCTTGTTCTAGCTAGTGTATGAAGACCCCTCTCCCCCCCGAAAAAAACACACACATCAAGAACATCCTTGAGAAAGTCAAACAGAGATCTTTAAGGTCCAAGGAGGACATTATTAATTATTGTTCAATATCAAATAAAGACATAAATTGGTTTACCAGTAGGAAGTTATAAAATTGTAAGGTAGAATTCAAACTTTAGTATAATAAATAAATGTATTACATCTGTGTTTCACTCTTTTGTGCATTGTGAATTCTGCGATGAGGCTATAATTATAAGGAACAGGGTAACATTTCTTGCGTAGTTTGTCGATTTGTTATTTTTTTTAAAAGAAGTTATCAGGACTTACACAAGGATCATCTAAACAGAATGGAAGATGAAGAATGTCTAGGCGTCAAAAATGCAAATTAAATAAACAAACATGTAATTCGAATTCATTAAAACCACACGGTTTGAATACATGTAAATATATATTACATCTAATGTGGATGTGGTACACGTACTTTGAATAGCATGTCGTTTCACATACATTTTTATTTTTAAAGGAAAATAGTTTTTTTCAAAATTAAAAATTAAATGTGAATATTGTTAAAATTTTACGGTTTCTCTACTTGTTATTCAAGTTTACATTTTCATAATTTTTTCAAGTGGATTGAAAATGTAACAAATCAAACTAAGAAGCATAAAATGAATATTATTGCATGAAAATATCTTAATGTAATACAGTTTAATAGATATAAACAATAATTTTAAGAGTTGCTTAGTTGTAGTTATATTGAGGAAAATTGTTTAAATGACGACTAAATAAAATGATTTTTTGTAAGAAAGGCCATCTAATTCTGTCAAAATACATTATATACATTTACTCACTCGAGCTCCTGCATATAATTATACAAGTTTGAAAATAAGGAGGGAAATAAGCATCCCAAGAATTTCTATGAAATGTTTTAACTCGATGTATTCGTTTTGAACACTTTTAATTATTCTGCTTTCACGTCATGATTTGACATTTCACATCATCTTATACTCAATAAATTCTCTCAAGAAAATAGCACGTCAACATTTTTTTTTGTTACGTAAGTTTTCATCGTTATCAGTAATTATACCTTCCACTTTTTATTAAAAATAAAAAATATCTTACAATATCGAACGTTGTAAAATTAATGAGCATGTAGTCATTGAATACCAAAGAAATAGACGTAAACGGATTAAACAAGAGAAATATTTTTAACTAAGAATATTGCGCAGATTCTATTGTTATAGTATTTCCATTATTTTGCCGGTCATTATCGGTGAAAAATGTTTTTCTTCTTCTTTCGTTAGTCAGTTCTGTAACTGGCTTCGTTAATAAGGCGATCGATGCCACAGAAAATCCTGTACATTAATAAGACGGAATCTTTTTTCACGAGCATTCTATACCGTTATTGGTCAAATAATCTTGATTCAAGCTTTGACATATTTTTGATGGAATCCGATATTGAAGATGTTCAAATTGAAAATCTTTTATATAATTTTTGATGTACACTATACGGAAAGACTAAAAATTCCTTTTAATTAAGAACACTCATTTTTTTAATTGAACATAATGGAATAGTAATGATAATTTTAAAAAAAAGATTGGTAATTTCTTTCATATGATTTATCAAAACAGTTTGGTTTATAAGACCTGATATATAAAAAAGTTACTTTGACATCTAAAATAGGACTAAAACTTGTTTTACTGATATACATGTATTGCATCAATTTGATAAAAATTTATTGCTGTTCAAGAATTAAATGAGGAACATGGGCCGGAAATGAGACACATGATTGAAGATTCTCTAGGCATACTAAAACTTAAATTTCATAACGCTTCTTGAGCGCTTGTTCCACCTCCCCTTCTCGGATCTTCCGAGGTTGTCGAATTATGTGAAAGTTCCCTATCTGGACTTTACTACAGGAATCCTTTATCCAATCGCAATGTTTGATCCGATTCAAAGTAAAGCGTAGACCAGGATTGAAGGCGAGGGCGCCACGGACGATCTCTCTCAGAGGTTGCGAAATATCCAAAACACGCTTCTCTGGAAACTGGATTTCTTTGGATGCACGCTCCTTGATTTGGTTAGGGATTACTCCCAAAGGAAGCCGACCGGTAGACATACGGTACAGGGTACAGCCTAATGACCAAATGTCAGCATATTTAGGATTGTATGCTTCCTCGTTGACGATTTCTGGGGCTTGAAACCCAATGGTTCCGCACTCGTCCTTTAGCAACTGATCTCCTGTAAAGAAATACACAGCATGTCCAAAATCTCCTAACTTTAGAGTATTTTGAGAAGTTAAGAAGACGTTTTGCGTGCAGATGTCTCTGTGGGCAATATTTTGTAGGTGAATATACTCTACTGCGTCAAAGATATTTCTGAAATATCTCCTACATACGGGTTCTGTTAAAAAACGTGCATCGTGTATTCGCAGTATCTGTTCCAAATTCCCATTTTCACAAAATTCCATAACGATTCCGATTCGACCATGACAGCTTATGTTGCTAATCCAAGAGACAATGTTACAATGATTTAACTCTTTGAAAATTCTCATTTCCTCATCCATGTCTGTTTTGAGGGTGATTTTGGTTTTCCGTCGCGGTTTGGAGGAGTTCAGTTTCAGCACCACTGGGATATACTCGCTCTCTTTATAATGGTTCACCTTGTGTAGGTCTTGAGCTAATATAATCGCTCCTGATCTTCCTTTAGCTAATGTTCTCAGGGGTCGAAAACCTGCTAACTTTGTAATATTATGAACAAAACTATCATAGAAACTGTTTCCAGTTCTGATGCTTCGAGCAGGATACGAGCTAAGTGGCGGAGGGTATGTTTGGACCCACTCGTCCCCCAGGGCACACCCCTGACGAATGATCTTGTAGTTGGCAGGGTTTGACTCGCCCTCCTCTCCTGGTAATGCCATTACATACTGGTGCAAATCGTCCGCTCCAAAATCGCCACTCGCTGATTGAGATGCCAAATTGTGAACAGATTTCGAAGAATCATTTTGGACAGTCCCGTTATCTCCTCCAATATGTGGCTCCATTTTGCGTTTTTTAAGTTCAGGTTCGATGCTCATATCGTAAACATTTACTTGTTGTTGCTAAAGGTTCCATAACATGTAGTTTCAAGACAATCGATTGACGTCATCAGTTTCTGTGTAAACGACGACGTCCTATCGATTGTGACGTTGTAGTTTAAGATGTCAAATATGCTGCTCGAGAAGTTTGGGGGGAAACTTCATGGCGTCATGAATAGTTTCAGCGTTGCTGGTATTTTAATTATGGTCCATATTTTGATATGCTATTGATATAGTATTCTAATTTTTCATCTATATCTAATTGAAAGAAAGCCCATAAAACATTCAAACAAACAAACAAACAAAAAGAGCATTTGCTAACTAGATCTATAAGTATTTGGGCATTACTGGGGAGAGGAGTTTTTAGGTTTTTTTTTAAAGACAGCAAGCCAAATTTGATTTTCCAATTTTTGTACAAGTAAATCTGAAGTGTGAAATATGAGCACTAATCGAGGAATGCACTCCACATATCGAGTTTCATGAAATAGAGACCCCCTGTCCGAGTCAGTTTATGAAAACTGTACATGATTTAATTCCGATTCTGGGGATTTTCCTTCTTTTATTATAAAGTAATCTTGTGTTTGAAGACAAACAGATATGTTCAGTGACCGGTCTTTCATCTGTTTTTGGAGTATTACGTTCGTCTATCTTTTAGTATTGACATTCCAATCGATACCACATTTCTAATGCGTCCATTATTTACAGAAACTTAAAACGAATTAAAAAATTAAATAAAACTTCGCTGTAGCTTTTGTAAAACCTTTCTCGTCAAATTGAAACACACGGTTAAGATTTCCATTTTCGAAGGGCGATGTACGCCCCTTTTTTATATAGAAAGAAACTTAAAGAAGGAGGCACACTAGTGATATCCCCACTTAATATTACAATACAAATAATGAGTTCACAAAAGAGTTTTGTACTTTGTTCAAAGAGAAGACTAGGGGGAGTAAAAGACATAGATCTGACGATAACAGAAAGGCGGATATAGGTTATTAATTTCTTTTTATAATTCTTGCTAACTCAGAATGATTAAGTGGGCCTTATTCAACAAATGTACGAAATGTGTCTAAGAGTACAAAATGTATGTAAAAGAGGATGTTCCAACCTCAACAGAAGCATGATTTCTCGCAACAAATAAATACGATTTAAAAAATACATTCAAAAAAAAAAAATGAAAAAAGATGAGATTAAAGCAGCGATTCATTTTACTTATAGACGAAAATGCCAATAGTTGCATAATCCATATTGCTTCTTAAAATTTAAAAAAGTATTTTCTTTTATATATCAATCATTGATCCCATATAAATGATCCCACCCTATACCCTCCCGGACAGTCCCGGTATATACGGGAGCTATGATTTGAAGAACTGCATGATGATTCACCCCCTATATACATCACAGAATGCTATCTCTTTAAGTTTTTTTCTAGCCCAGTGTTCATCGAAATGACTTTTCATATGAATTCTACCATATCTTTGTTCCCCTTTTCTACTCTTTTTCCAAAAAAATTATTATAATTTCTCCTTTGAATGAGCGCCGACCTTCATTTGAACAATTTCAGAATCCACTTAACTAGAGAATTTTGTGCGCCAAGTTTGGTTGAAGTAGTCTCAATGATTCTTGAGATGAAATTGAAACTATGTTAAGGACAGACACACGGACAGAGGCTGGAAAAAAGACGATCAGGTTAGCTTAAAGGCGCAGAGGGAAAAAATCATATAAAAAAAGTATCTTAAAGTTTTATGATCACAAGGAAGGGATATTTGATATTGAAAGACATTTCAGTTAAAGATGAGGAAGTTCTCCAGATGGGCCGTATATCTCCCTTCTGTTTGTACAGAGAGGGTGAAAAATTAGGGCGGAGAACAGTAAACTGTATGTATAGATCAGTAGTTACAAGGAATTCCTTATAACAACTGTATAAATTCCTGATTGCTGTAGATATATAAGTTCTTAAGAAACTTCCTTATGCATTAAGTATACAATGTACATTGTAGGTCTAAATTTTGAGTCCATCACCAGAAAACAGTGAAGTCTTTATATATGAGAAATTTCTTATGGAATGGAACTTCAAACAACGTGCATTTAATTTATCAATGTGAAACGTTTGCAAAGCGTATAACAAGAGCGGGGATGTGTGAGAAAATATGACTATTAATATCAGAAAATATTTTCTCTTTCTTAATTTTGAATAAATGGTATACATTCAGAACAATATTTAGGAGTATTCCTTTTCATATTTTGTAAAACAATACTGTTTATTACTATTTTACACTTCATTAGGAAAAAGACACATTGCTTACAAGATATATATACGCACGTTTATTCAAGCAATAAGTCTAAGACGGCAAGTCGTGTGTGTGTGCATAAAAAGTAGCCTCCCCCTCCCCACCACCCCCACCCCCGCGCTTAAATACAGCACACAAGAAAAAATAGGACGCTTTTTAAAAAATATCTGGTAAAATTAAATCAGAAAGTTAACTTATAGTTTGTCTTCCCAGTTTCGTGCTATAATGCAACAAATAGAAGGAAAGGTCCTGGAATTATATTCATGTCGGCTATGTTTTAAATATTATGATTTATGAGATTCAAAATGTTAGTCAATAGGAATTGTTCAGATCTTTGATGAGATTAAAAACAAATATTTAGATTGCTACAAAATTTGTATACTAGATATACATAATAATGAATCAATGGTTGATTTTAATTTTATTTTAAAATACGAACATACTTTAAGACATTTAAGACAGTGTAGATAGTGAAACATCATAGAAAATTTCGGTAGCTTTATTGTAACTCTTATCACTTACAAAGAATACAATTAAATGTAATTAAACACCCAATTTTATGTTAACGCCCCCAAAATCTACCTGATTCAAGATCAATAATTTACCGCCTGTCAATCATTAAAAAAAACAATAGCTTCTGAATTGATTGACAGGCCAGCTACCCGTGCTACCTGATAATCTGAATTGGTGTCCTTTGAAAACGATTGCCTGGTCACGCATCAAACACTTTCATGTAGCCGCCTTGTGTACACGGGGGTTAAAAAAAGAATCTTGGTAAATTTTTAATTAAAAAACAATTGAGAGTAGATAATTAATACATGACTTCATAAAATACATGTATATGCTTTCAATCTCAACGGTTATAATTGTATTTTAGGCGATATTTCGTCCAAGATATCTGCTGTCGAATTGAGACTGGTCCGTTCACAGAAACGCTATTTGCCGATTAAAATTGGAATATGATAAACATAAGAAAAGATATTTAGCACAAACGGCATGGATAAAAAAAATTCCTTTATATCATGTTTTATCTATGATGCTATGTATATATGAATACAATTTACACCATGTTGCGTTGTACATGTTGTAAAGTTCTGAAATGTCAGAAACGAGTTTCGAGATTGTAACTTTTAGTTCGAATTTCCTAACGTCTGTCAATACACAACATTCGAAATTAAACAGTGAATATATGAAGCCAAAGATGAATTCTTAAAAGTACGTATGAAAGAAATCTTGCAAACAATAAAAAAAATTAAACACACGAACACCCGGAAATGGTGAATATTTTCGACATTATTGTTGGTCAGAACGTAAGCAATATTCCTATCGCGGTACATTGTATATGTTCACACGACGGGTAGGCCTATGAATGGAATGTTTTATTATTATTTTTTTAATTTTGTTATTTACACAAGTTTAATTTAAAATAAAAAGATATGTTTACTTTGTAGTTTTACTCTGTGTTCTTTTCGTTAATTTTACAATATTTTTTGAATATAAAAACTATATTTCTTTACATTTTTTTATTCATTAGATATCGCTGAAAGTATAAATAGATAAATATATTGAAATATTTCAATCATTTCACGTAGTTTCACTCAAATTTAGACACGAAACACAGAATGTTGACCCTGATCACCAGACACAGACTTCCTGTGTAATGCTACGTGTATATAGATTTTTGACATCTTGTGTATTGGGGGTCTCCAGGTAAATAACATCACTGTTACTTGGACCACTCCCCCTTCTCAGGTAACCGTACGGTAAAAAAATTGGGTCTTTAAGTCGATAATGTTACAAGGTTTCTTGACCCTCTGATAAGAGGGTGTGTTCCCGTTTTGCACACATTTGATAATTAGGTATAAACAATAGATGTGAAGTGTGTTTTGATAGCAATTATAGTCCGATTTCTGGTTTGGATTTACCTGGATTTACCTGTGAATACGTGGTTTAGCTTAATGTATTCTTAAGACTTTTAATACAATTTTATAAGCATTTTATTAAAATTCTATACATATTTATGGTAAAATATTTGATTTTATTGAATAAAATATTAATATCTATTTTATTTTATCTATTAATTATGTCCAATTTCTTTAAAAAAAAAAAAAAAAAAAAAACACTTTTCAATCTTGATAAAATTCTAAATTAAGTAAAGATATAACAAATAATAAAGAAAATAGAGAATAACAATTTATGCTCATGAAATATAACAATAAATGAATATCAAATGCATTAGTTTTGTATTTATTCTCATGTTTTTCACTATAAGTTCACCTTTCACATACTTACTAAAGTATGGTATAGACTTTAGCAATTAAGTAATTATCTCACCTGATCAAATTCCAGTTTTTCAGACATTTTTTAATTACCTGTAATTCAAATGTGTACAAAACGGGAACAAACCGATAAGAGAAATAACTCTGATAAGAGAGATAACTCTTACAGAAATTAATATCATTTCTTATTAGAATGTGTCTATAGCTTAAAAAAGATCTTGTGAAAATGTTGAAAAAAGTGTGTAAAATTTATGTGTATTTTAATTTTCAATTTAATAGCGCATCATTCCTCTAAATCAAAATTTAAAAGGAGTTTACAGAGGCATACTGAATCTGTAAGGTAGTCCGAACTTAAGAAAATGCTCATGAAATATCTCTGAATTGAAATAGTTATTAATATTTACCTCTAATATTTCTTCAAAGTTGATCAGTATAGTAAATCATTTATATAAGGAAAATCTTCAAATCTCCATCACAAATTCAGGAAAAGCAAATAGAAACAGAATTTCGCATTTTCTAATTAAAAATCGATACACAAATATATTTAAGGTAAAAAAAAGAAAACTATAAGAATTCAGAGAAATTTGCATACGTTTTATACTTACATGTACAAGGTTTTCTGAGTCCTCTTAATCCTTTAACGATCATATAATAATCATGTAAAAAAAAGTGTAAAAAGCTTGCGCTTTCATAACAAGGTGCCAAAGGTCAATTCTATTTCATATCATGCCAATAAGCATTGGTATCTAAGCTAGATTCAGATGTTTCTTCAAAACTGGCTTTAGTACTGAAATTTTATTGGGTATATGATTTTATGAGACCCTTTATTAGACTTCAAAGAATCTTGAATATTAAGATACATAAAATGAAAAAAAATGCATGAAAAGTTTTCCATTTCAAGCCTCATATATGTTTGTACTTTAAGAGTTATCCTTCCTGGTTGAGGATCGGATATCCTAGTTCTAGTTTTAATGGAATATTTCAAAAATATTCATTGTCGATGTAAAAGGATACAAGAAACTAATTTTAGGAATACGTTAATTTAGCATCTTTGATCAAATTTTATCAATTTTATTTGACTAGTAAATCTGTGTTACTTATTATTTTTAACGGCTATATATCAAGGAATAACACGAGAAAATATCATATTCTTCATACATTTTATTTTCACAATACAAAATAAAATATACTTGCACTTAAACATAAGGGTAAAAACGATTAAGTTTTCATAGGAATTTGGTGGTTCATAACAAGACGACGGACTTCAGACGATTATTTTACAGTTTGAACATAAGAGCGGAACCACTTCAGAACCGCGTACAAATATAGGTACCGTATATGGCTAATCACTTGTATTGCATCTAACATGTAACATTAATTATAACAGATTCAAAAAAGAGCTGTGCTGAGTATGCTCGGAATCATGAAACATTACAGACTAAAGTCAAAAGTTCTATTGGGATTGAAATGATGTAAAGTCAAACAGTCCAAAATAAAATTGTTTCAACAAAGGTTTTTAACCTACAGATTTTAAGCTTTAGTCTCCAGTTGAAAAGTGCTGGAGCAGCTTTAAATAAACAACGAACTGACTTTAGAATTAGTCTTTTTCATGATCCAAGAGCACTCGTTTCTGAAAAGGGAACCAATGAAATACTGCGTACACAAAATCTTTGTTGCGTAGATCTATTTTCTTGAAGAAACAAAATCCGGACAAATTAATAAAATTTATTTTCGTTGTAGCTGAACTATTTCTTATATCTAAAAGAAACAATGATCAAAACACAAAATACCTGAAATTTTCTTCAATTAAATGAAACATGATATCATCTCTAGTTCGATTATAAATATTTTTTTTCTTTAATGATATGTCTGTATTTCCGACACTATCCGATTCCGGTGCAGGTGAAGAAAAGAGCACGTGGCACCTTCGTTTCTGACGTCTGCATCAAATGTAACAATTAGCGTTTTGTGTTCATGCTACAAGCGTTCAAACGGATGGCATGCGTATGAACTTTGTTTTTGCAAGTGTTCAACATAACGAAAAGGTTGAAACGTCTTGTCTGAGTGTAAGATGAGATTACAGCAAGACATTCACACATCCGAAGGAAATTTTTTGACGTTTGAAAATATTTTGCTTACTTTATTTGATCTTTATCAAATCTGTGAACAGGTGGGCATCGATATAAACGTGTTTTCTGTTAAAATCATTAACGGTGCTAATTGGTATGGAATTCGGTACCATCCTTACTTTTTTAGCATATCAGATGTATTATATAATAATTCCAAGCTGCTTTCACCATGTGGCTTAGAGCCTTGCACGAGATGGACCTTTCTCTAAGAGACTACAGCCAAATATTTTATGCACTGAAATATGATCTCATTATAACAACAAACATAGATCAATGTCTCAGTATCAATAGTTTCACGGTAACAAAAACATAGGACCGACAACATTAGTCGTTGCGCATGCGCATATAACACGTAACATGTGCTTTTAATAAACACACTACACCGTCAGCAATATATCTACTGAAAACAAGGTTGTACGTTATGATTTACTCCGTGTTAACACCCCGGACTTGACACCTGAGAAAATATATCTATTCAGTGCAGATTAGAAGCATATTATTCGTTTGAATCGATGATATTTCTATGGTCTCCAGGTGCAGGAATATATCTGAGAGTATGCCCTTCTTTTGGTTCTCGTTATATTGAGTAGCCTTCTCTCAAGGATATCGATGCTCCCCTTCCTTTGAAGCACCGATTTCCCCCAGAAACTTTAATGACAGGTGTGTATTTATCACCTTCGTCTCTATTTGATTTCTGAGAGGGGCATGAGCTCAAGATTATTTTAAACCTCCGATATGACCAAAACTTTTGTCGATAATAATACAAGACACAGTTCATTAGAGAACAAAACAGTAGCACTTATCAACAGTTTACACCAAATACACCAAGGGAGCCGACAGAAATCTCTCAGCTCAGTGAATTTATTGAATTAGTAAATAAGTCAGATAGACTACTGCTAGAGTGGTCGGACTCCATGTGACTGCTGTGAAGATCAGATAAAGATGGCGTAGAACTAATATCCGACATGGCGTCCGGTGATTGGCTGTCATCGAGCTCCGTCAACTCAGAGATTGATTGGTCGTCTTTTATTTTGTCGTCCTCCGAACTAACGGCTGATTGGTCATTAGACTGACCCTGATTTGGTTTGTCAGAGTCACTCTTTAGAATGTTTCTTCTATATTTAGCTCTTGCGTTTTGGAACCACACCTAAAAAATATGTAACATTTATTGTAAAAAAATACTTAAATGTACTCACATTTAATACTTAAATGTCTGGTATCATGTTTTTTGGATACCAGAGGCACATTTTGCTGCTATGACCCAAAACAAAATTGAAATTTTGTTTACTTGGTCGTGTCAGTTTAACATCAATACAATACAGTCAAAAGTGACAAGTCGTGATGTTTTTAACAAGAGACAGTCAACATGATGTTTACTAAATTCACTAAGTCACATGGATAATTCAACGTTTCAATAAAAATGTACCTGAAGAACTCTTTTTGATAGCCCCGTCTTCTGAGCAAGCTGTTTTAGGTCTTTTGCGTCAGGATTATGATTTAAAGCAAAGTAAGATTTCATAGTTCGCAACTGGTGATGTTTAAATGATGTCCGGACTCTTTTTTGTCGCGGAGGTGGCTGTGATCCATAACCGCCATCTTGTCTCATGAGATCGCCACCTCTTTCCGGTCCGTCACCATGTCCAAGACCTGCAAGGAATCGTTAAACATGATTATTGGTGAAAAAAATGTCACTGCATTTACTCAAGGTGTTTTGGGAATATTTTCTGGTGCTTGCATGTTTGACTTTTTCAGGTTACCGACGTAAACGGTGCTAATTGCAATTATTTTTAGCCAATTAACAAAAAATAAATTGGTGCCTTTTTTAATCACTTCGTGATAAATTAAATCAAAATTTTCCCTACATCTGGACTTCTTCGCAAACAATTAACGGTTTCCAATTAAACAAAACGATTTTAAGGAAAAGTTTCTTTCAATAAGTTTAAGAATTAAACTTTCATTTTTTGTTAGTCATTACTCATGTTAGGAATTTACGAATCCAGGTATGATTGTTAAACGTATTGTTAACAAATTTGAAAAGGAACAACGTTTGCATAATTAGCAATGACACAATGACGTTTGTAACGGAATAAGAATCATCGATAATCAATAGTTGACGGTGAAAGAAGCGGCCAGTATGAGATAAGAGTTAATGGTCATTTCGACAGGCTTTTGAAAGATGCAGACCATTCGTTGATCAGCGTCACTGGGTTGACAATGATATCTTCTGACAGGATCTGACGGATAGACAGTTTCCGAGATAAACGACGGAACGCCTGTGATAGACAAACTCCAAAATAATGAAGTGACTAGTAATTTCTTTACAGCTTGTAAGACGACAATCCCGCATCTAAAACAGACATAAAAGCCGGGTGAAGTTTCTACCACGAGCATCCTTTTGTCTTGTAGAAAGACAGGCTTACAGTATGACCTCCCACAAATTCTCTAATACCAGACAACTTAGAAAACGATAAAAAGCATCATAAAATTAATTAAACTTGGAGAAGAACACTCTGCCGTGAACAAAACTATGTATCCCGTTTCGATCCGCATAATTTATCTTGTGCTATATCTTTTGGGGGTCTCGTAAAAAGATAGAAAAATATATTAGGTTAGCTTTAACAATAGCAGGCACCTGTTGCGAGTGGTCTGTCAACTGCCAGCAACTGTCCATCAACTGACGACAAATAGACATCAAAGATGGCTTCAGTTTGCGAACAAACAACCCAATAATCTCATTCTTGACATAAGATACGAAACATTTGAGAAACAAATCCTTACGTTTTTTACGCAACTGATAAACATTGTGGAAAAGTTTTATTACTATAACCGAGTTTAACCTTACTTGCGAAAAGAAGATACTATTTATTCTAAATAAAGAATCAGTCAGCCTCATGTCAAATAAAGTTTATCTTTGATTATAAATTTTTGAAATCAAAACCTTGTAACTTGTCACATGGTTTCTCGGAGCCCACATCAATCACTCAAGACATTATCCAGAACCGTTCGGATTTTATCTGCGTTCGCCGTAATCGACTCTGCTTTTTATAACACCTATTTCATATGATCTGATATTGAAACATATTCTGTGTGTTAAAGTCTACAAACAAGATTGAAAATCACCTGAATTCAAAGAAATAATCTTTAATGAAATTTTAAAATACCAAGAGTTTTCAACCTTTGATTTACAAACTAGCAAAAAATCTTTCTCTCTGAATTTTTATTCTCAAAAAGGAAGAAAAAAATTATGCTCCAATGATTATGAAAAATGACGATGATAAAATAGTTAATTTAATATGTTGCACTTTTTAATCCTCAAAATACTGTGTTACGTTGGGAAAAAAAAATTAAAAGCATGTTAAAAAGTTTATCCGAAGAATGCGTTGTTTTACTAGGAAACATTGATTGCTAATGACTGGACTCATTTTGCCTGTACATTCTGTTTTTCTTCAGCATCTGGTAAAATTTCTAACTTGACATTTTCATGTCTGATCAAGATCGTCATAAATCAGTCGCTTGTTATCTAAGTCACGGAAAAGGAAAAATAATTTACGACTGGGGGAGTAGTGCTCAAAATTTATATACACTGTAACCATAACCGCATTGCAAACAAATTATTGCTCCACACGAAATAAACCCTATCTTGAAAGAAATGTTTTCTGAAATATATTCGCATATAATTGTATATGGGGCTATTCCTGGCGTTTAACGTTTTCCATGAGTTTTTGTAGAAAGTTATGGAAGCAGGGTTTGCTGTGAATTATGGGAAAATAAGGTGAAAGGTAAGATGAGAAAACAAACATCCACAGTTTTAATCCGGAAATCAAAATGAATCATTTTTGTCAATACGAATTAAATAACTGTTCGAATTTGATTAATTTGATTCATCACTAGTGTTTGCTAAAGATAAATATCATAAGCTATCTCTTCTTGTCGCTATTGATAAAACAGTACCTCTGATTTAATTTTTAAAAAATATCCAATGGAAATTCACAAAGAGGTGTAGAATTTTAATTATTTTGTTCATTGATTTTAGTTACACTCTCCATCTTTATACATTTGAAGTCTTCGTTTAACACACACTTCAATGATGCGTCAACGATTTTCTTTCTTTCTTTTTATTTAAATTGAGAGAAGGAACAAAAAAAAAACAAAGCAAACCGTTTGTAGGTAAATATTGTCAAGAAGTTCTCTGGATTAAAAATCTCTTGTGTACAAAATTTGATATTTCTGTTCTTTTCCCAAAACTTTCCAGCCTGTGGACAAACACACAGGGCCTCTTCAGAACAGGTCCGAAAAAGACAAATATTTGACTACTGTTTGGAAAACATTTGTCACAAATCAAAGTAAATCTATCACAAAAACGGATCTACTTAGAAACATAACTGCCATGTGCTATGATTTTAAAGGGAGCGATGGTAAATACATGTAATTTAATATTTCTGACCGAGTTTTGAACGTAACCGATTAATTTAAGAAAATTTTCAGTTGTCTCTCAACTTTTTTTTTTATTATAAAGACTTAATTGATGATGACGTTTTTTGAAAATATGTCTGACAGTTCAGGCCTTCCTGATGTCAGTTTTTTTCCTCCATAGATGTCACGTGCATTCCTCAGCGGATATAGTTTTTTTTCCGTAAATTTAACATAAATAAGATGCAGAATTCCCCCCAAATTAAATTCTAGGTATGGTATTTTTCTCTTTCAAGGATAAACCACTACTCACTTCAAGTTTAAGATTTCCTTTTCCGGAAGAAAAAGTATTGTGAGAAAAAAGTCTTTAATTAGAACAGGAGTGACTTTAAATATGAGAAAATATCTTAAACTTGGAGTCGTAAGCCATTTGTGTCCCCATCTATCATATATAAAGGAAGGACGTCCATGTCAAGAAAAATACGCGGCTAACATGAAAGGCTTTCCGGAAGTAGATTAAAACTCAGATACCAGTAAAGATCCGGAACTTATCGCTGTTGAGTGGATTTCCACTAGTGGCCACTCTTCTTCTACTTAAATTAGTCACGACTTTTTCATTCATAAAAATATGTCCATTAAGAAATCATCTTACATCAGGGGATCAAATGGAGTTTTTCCTTTCATAGTATTTAAAAGTTCAACAGGATTATAGTCGTGTGAAGAGTATCAGGTGATTTTTTGGAGTGTTGGACCTCCTTGGTCACCAATTTACCGACTACTGTTCAATTATAGGCAAGAAAAATACTTAATCAAAGGTGTCGCTTTCCTAAAACAAGTAAGACAACTCTTGCTTTCCTTCCTGTTTCTTTCCTCTTTTCTTTTTATTAGTTTTTAATTTTTAACTGTTAAATTTTTACATAAACTTTGCGAATTATAACGAGATTTCTTTTCTGGAAAAAGACCACAGACATGAAAGATACAATATTCAAATCTTTAAAAATATGTTCAAGCTGAAAACAGAAATTTTAACTTTTTCTTTCAATTCTTTTTTACCTTCACACAATATATAAATGTAAAATGGCCAAAGGAATAAACAAAAAGATTCAGCCGAAGCTAAAATTCGAAAATGCAAAGTTTCGGTAATTAAATGCAGAGTTAATTTCTATTCTGCTACTTATCGACAAACTTTAATTTAAAAAAAAATGTTAGCTCACTACAAAAATGAGCTAAACACTCAAAATTAAGTGTAACTTTAAAATATTTGTGTTGGAAGAATCGAAAGCTTGATTCTTTTGTTTCAAATCTTAGCAACGTTCAAAATGAGAGAGAGAGAGAGAGAGAGAGAGAGAGAGAGAGAGAGAGATTTTGACTCACATGATATAAAAGAGCTGATTTTGTTTTTCTTCCACGGGTTATCGCTCTAGGTTAAGTGTCTCTAGTTTTTATATTATTGTCTTAAGAGTCTTTATCGCTTGGACTCAATGTTTATAGAGAGGTCGCGTGGGTCACATTCTGTCGACTTAGAAATGATAGCGGGTATAAGAGTCAGTGACAGGACTTATCAGCTTTCAAACGACCACAGACATATCCCAAATAGCTTTCTCGAGTGTGCCAATCTGGAATTATAAAGCGGGTTCAAAATCACCATATGAAATATTTTTATGTGTGCAAGTTTCTTCAAAGAGTTCTCAAGCATATATATTTTATTAACAGTTGTAACAACCCTCCTTTTAATTTTCCCTGCCTTGATTTTATTTTATATTTCATACAAAGATTCTCTCTCCATTTGCTTTTTACTTGTATCCTTCATTCTTATTTTTTAAAAAAAAGAAAAACTTTTTTTCAGATGCTATCAGATGCAATTGCTAAAAGTTTAAATACTAGTAAGTAAGAAGTCAGCAAATTAGTTCCCCGTCTGGCGCGTGAATACTTACTATAATTTTATTTAATGATTTAAGTCCCATCCCACAGGGAAGGTTAATTTCGAAATATTTCGTGAATTAGCGAAACCTACACCAAATGTTTTGTCAAAGACGGCATCCAGACGGTACCAACGAGACCAAAAGGGTCGCACTAATGAAAGGAAGTCAAGGAGGAGGGGATAGTGCAATTTGTAATGAAAATTAGTTCGTTTTATTTAATTGAAAGCAGAGGAATATAATAGAAGGATAAAACAAATCTGGGGAACGGCTATCCACATAAAAATCTAACATCAAGAAAATACGGGGACGGTACCAGGTCTTTGAAACCTGTTAGAAATACAGAATTCAAAGAAGCGGGAAATAATTCAACGGAACTTACAAAAGGACTAAAGATTAAATGAATGTTCGTTGTTATTGTTAGCTATATCGAAAGAAAAAAAGTTAACTTTTTTCTGGTGTTCTGCTTACTGCATGTCGATAGTGCATATGTATTTATAAAGAAATTCGTTAATTCTGAAAGAAAGAAATGATAATTGTAAACTGAGTTTTATGTAATATTCTCAGCAGTTCGCCAAGATTTTATCAGCATTCTGTCGAGATGAACTTTAAAGAATAAAATGTCCAAATATCAAACGTTTTCTTAAGTAGAGTGACGAATTGCTCAAGAGCTACCTGCCACTTTTGTAAGTCGGGGACCAAACTTTTCCAGCAGACAAAAAGAAAGGACTTGGGGTGATTTTGACATCCTGAGGGGTTTCTGCCTCAAGTAACATTCGATCAACTCTTGATAAAGTTTTCAAAGACTGGCTACATCCTCCGGTCTTTTCACGACAAAAATGTCAAATAATACTCCATTGTTTCCACACAAAAGGGTATTTGCTAAAGTGTCCAAGCTTGTTTGGGACCCCGACGGAGTAATCCAGGGTTCAAGTGACTTGGAATTTATCACGTGATTGGTACATAGCGGGGATGATCGTACAATGGCGAGCATCACAACAAAAGCTTGGGGTTTAGTGGACAATAGTAAATTTTAAAAACTGTTATTAACATGTACCCAAGATAATAATGTCTGGTTTGAATGCTCTTGGCAAGGTTGAATTTAAATACTCATGTATGAAAAATACAAACACATCTTAAAAAGATATAAAATATATAGACATCATTATTTGTAATAAACGAAACATGAAACGGAAAAATATTATTTGATATTTCTTCAAGGCTCTAATAGAAATACGATTTTTTTTAAAGAATATAATTCAAGAAGATCATTATATTTTATTTCAGGGGGACAGAGAAGCTTGACCTGGTCACGAATTCTGTAGCTACCAAATCAACAAAACAACTGTGACTTAATGCATTAAAGAAAGCATGGAGGAAATTTATATATTGATTAATGTGCAGTTTAATGATTCATTAACAATGGCCCATATTGCAGTTCGCACGTTTTTGCTTTCAGTACAAGATAAGGCAGGGGTGTTTCTGCCCCTCCGTACATTTATTTCTGTCAATTATTCTCGTGCCAAACATACAATTAAAATTTTATCAAGATTTTATCCAGATAAAAGATGAAGATTTTTTTAATTTGATACCACCATCCATGCAACTACATGCTGTGAATTTCTCACACCAGAGAATTAATTTAAAGCTAAAATTAATATATTTTATTTGAGAGACAAAAGTTACACATTGCTTCAAAGTTTTAATTCAAAATAAATATTAGATTAAAAATTAACATAAGAAACCAAAAATTGATTTTCAGAAAGTTTTAAGATAACTTTAATTGTATAGCAACTTTCAAGTGTTTATTTTTGGCAAAATAAAACATATGTTAGTTGCTCAAACTTTTGATAAAGTACACAAATTCTGACTGTCCGCTTAAGGTGGCACGTAAAATCCTTTTGTTCGGTGATACAAATTAGTGACAAATTGGCTGAAAGCAAACGGCTTAACACTTGAAAAAAGATTTCTCAATTTTTTTTTCTCAAAAATTTAAAATCAATAAAATGATTTTCTCTCATGCACACCGGTCTTTCATTTTTACATTGTTCAATCTCGTGATTTTGTTCCTATTGTTCAAATACTCCACTCTGTTTATACAAATAATTCAATTCTCTCAATTGCCACAAAAGGGGCAAATCAAAGATACAAAATATTTCCGATACAACGAAAAAGGGATTGCTTTGATATCATTATGAACTTAAACATTTAATTTCGTTTTCTTCCACAACAAGCAGCTAATATCAATTTATTTCGTTCTCTTCTATAATCACTATAATCAAACAGCGATCACTACGCTGGATTTCATTCGACAGTTGGAATGAAAATCTTGGTCATGTCAACTCTTGTTAATAATTGTCAATTTCCTGTGTCTTGTGATCAAAATTAAGAGTTTCCTACAGTGAAATGTCGCGAACAAATTGCCACTTCCATCCGATAACTGCAGCAAACAGTCACAACCAATGAGACGTTTTTGCTTGATTTTATTTTTTTTACGATTCGAAAATGTAGGATGAAAATAATATTTTCTACTCTAAAGTTGTTTTCTTCCTCTATTACTTTAGATATCAGAAAATTAAGAATAAAAATTCAGAAAAACAGAGAAAATACAGCTAATATGATATTAGAAGATTTATAAAAATGCTTAAAATTATTAACAAAACATTTACTAGTATAGAAGAAGAGGAAATTCGGACGCCGCCATTCTACACTGGTGGCCATATTATTTTGGCGATCCAAACCAAGGGCGTGAGATTTGTTTGACACGAGAGATGAGTTTTCTTCTCAGATGTGTTTTGCAGATTTCTGTCTAAGCATGATTGACAAAATCCCACACATGGCAGATGAACGAGAGAGGAAGTTGCATTTAAATGTATTTTTCTTCCTTAAAAAAAATGTATGTGATACTTTCTGTTAAATTAGTTCCATATACTAAAAAATAATTCAATATATTCTAAATATCCACGGTGTCATTATCTTTGAAATTCCTTTTTTCTCGAGAAAGTTGTTTACATTGAATTGGTCATTTGAAACATATCAAAATATTCAAATTATTATGTCGTGTTGCTATTCACATAATTTTAACCGAAAAAACAGAAACAATTAAAATCCTCATTGTTTAATAAAGATGCACGTTTTTTATGAAAATATGAATTCGTCTCTTTATCAGTTGAGGAAAGTTTGATAGCATTTGCCATCGTATTTAGTGCGGCATGTGTTTTATTGTATGAAAGAATGCGATAAGGTATCAAGAATGGAAAATTATTTGCATTGCATAACTTGACTATTTATCATAATGTAAACGAAAAGTTTTGAAAGGATCAAGACCCCAATTATGCAATTTAATATTTTAATATATCAGGATTCTCGTTGCAACACTTCAAGTCTTTTTTGAAAGAGACATGTATGAAAATCATTTTTTTTTGTTTTGGTTTTTATTTGCTATACAGTACTGCAAATATTTAAATCTTTGTCTGGTTAAGATAAATTTTAACAAACAAGTATCTGACAACCGCAGACAGATTAAAAAAATAATCTTACGGGATTTTCTAATCCCAGAAAATACAAATAAAATATGTTTATATAATTCACGTCAAAGATGATATAAAGTTTACATACACTACTTTAAAAGCCGTGATACACGTGTATCTAAAATTTACATCAAATTGAGCAAAAAGCGAATCTCTACGATGCCATTTCTACACTGCATGTGATTGTGAAATTGTTTGAAAAAAGAATTTTTTTATTACTTCATTTAAAGTGTCAAATAAAAACTATTTTAAAACTGCCACCGTTTCAAAAGTGATTTTGGTGTGGTCTAAATTTCATAATTAAAACTGCAAATGAATGACAGTCGCAATAGCACTCTCAACAAGTTGAATGATTACGAAATGTTTCATTTTTTTGCTGCCGAATCCCTCCTTCTGATTGCGTTTGACGGGAGGGAGATAGCGTTTAACCGTGTCAGTTGCTCGGTCTGGAAAACTTAAGTGCCATTATTAATTATCGAACATGATTATATTGTTGTTAGATAAGGTGAAGAGATATGAAATAAGAGCGATAAATCAGTCCTTAACTACTCTCTCCGAGTCCCGGAGCTTCTTCACGCTGAGTGTCGGCAGAGTACAGTGGAAAGATTTCACAGCTAATTTCATGTGCACCGTTTTTAAGGAGGATAAAAAAATCTTTCTTATCTTTCTCACAAACTTGCCCCTGGGTCGCAAAAGACAGGGGTTTCCTAAATAGAAATGTATTTGACAAGAGTTTCATTTCGAACAGCACTCTTGCAATGCAGTTCTTGGAACATCTGCAAATATTTAACATATGAATAATTCAGTTTTTTTTTGTTGAAATTTTAAAATGCTGCAATTAAGTGACACTTGGCGATAAAAAAAACTTCGTAAAATGGACACTTTTGGATATGGCGTGAATACCCCGTCACCTAATGCAACCTCCGATGTCAATTTCGTCACTGAAATTTGATCACAACTGTTTCATGTCCGGCTTAAACGATTCTAGTGCTGAATCATACTGGGTTCGTCCCCTCGTAAAGTAACACCGTGTAGATACACACTCGGGGCGACCAGATACCCCCAGGTTTAGTTTTTGGTCTTTTTAGAGGTGCGAGTAAACTGAACAAAGAAACAGCATGATGTACGATGTCTTACAAATATGAGAGTAAAGGCTTTAACCTTTTTCTAAAGAATTTGCCCAATTGGTATAGGGTATGTGAAAGAAAGAAAATGCCTCACTTCAATCGGAACAAGTATGCCAAAAGCTAAAGCATTTCAAAAGGACAGGCTAAGAATTACATCTGTCATATAAGCCCCAAATTGATATTACCAAGGATCTCGGAAGATAGCAAAACATGACTGGTTTCAATGAATATTTCAAGAACATAAAAATCTGCCAGGAAACAAAAACAACCATTTACCCTAAAGCACAAAGTCACAAGTTAAGCTATAAATATGCTGAAAAGAATGATTCATTCATCATAAGCTGAAAGTTGCAGTCGAGCTTTCAGCTTGGTCATCATACCCCATCACTCAAGGGGTCCAGAATGCCCTATCCACCAGACGGCGCTATTTGCCGAATACATTGGATACTTTACAACTGGAAGTGTAAATATTTGGCCTAATCATCGAGATTGTTGTCCGTCATAACATATTTAAATCTCTCTTGACAGGTTCGTATTTGCATTCTAAATAGTCCGTCAGTTTTTCGTCTTATGCTTTTCTGGTCGGTGCTACTTGCACAAATATTTTCTGAATAGAAATCTTTCCTTAAACAACTTTCTGTACATAAAAATAACCGGTAAAACAAAAATGGACCCTCTGCTCTTCACCAATACTATTGATTCAGTTTTATTGTTTATTTTGTAAATGATTTTAGATTTGTAAACACAATACTCTACTTCCCGTGGATTATTGTATACCCGCTTCTTAACATAGATAGTCAGAATTTAACACGAAAAAGAACGTCATAACAAGCAAAAATTAAAATTATAGTGGAAGCAATCTGCCTCAAAGGAAATCTAAGAATAGCTCAAACTCTCGACGCTGGACCGAATTTCAATGGATGCAATAGTGGAATACCTTGGAGGAGGTCACCCAAGCGTTTGTTTGAAAGTGCAAAAGATACCCGCATATGAAGCTTTTTGCATTAAAAAGAAGAATCCTTACCCATGCCTGGTGGGCATCCATCGTGATCGATAATGTGGTTCTTTCTCTTTCTGGGCCGTCCTTTTTGCACCGCTGTTCCGACTCCGTTGTAGAACGGAAGATGTCCGCCGTTGGGACACGGCATTGTCGGATGCATGCGCGAGAAATAGTCTCCCTGGAAAATGATTTCGTAGTCTGTTCTACAATATATTAGATCGTCCTGCATTCCGAATTGATCACCCGTTGTAAGGGTCTTATTGCACGATGCACATGTAAAACAACTGATGTGAAACACTAAGTCTTTAGCACGCATGACAAGTTCATTCGCCGTGATTCCTTGATGACACCTTGAACATCTCTTGACAGCGTACCTTCTGGAAAATAAAAATAAAATCTTACTTTAAAAAATGCAAATTTCGGAATTAAGAAATTTCAATGTAACCATATTTTCAAAGATCGCGAAATTGATCCCCTTGCAAGACACCGTCATGCATATACTAGTATATGGTGTATTGCTCTTTTGTATACGTTAGTTAAATTAGCACGCATAATTAACATTTAATATAAAACATCAAATTCAATTTTGATAAAAACACCCATGCCTAGTGTAAAGTGACATGCCATATGTATGTAAAGAAGAAAAATCGTCAAAATAAAAACAAACAACTTTTAAAGCATTTTTGGCTCATTATTTGGCAAAAAGAAAGTTCCAAAAACTTTCTTGGAACAGAACTTTGTTAATACGTATTCGCGTCATGGATCAAAGCCCCTAATGTTCTCAGAAGTTGTCTGATAATACGTTTTTTGGCTTCTATGACATTAATCAGTCAAACATGGCGGATCGGGATCAAACGAGAGTTTACGAGATCTTTTCGCAATGACATTCCATATGGAGAGACCATATTCCGCCAGGTGCGCAAAATTTCATCTGCTCGTAAAATTCATGCACTTTCATTGTTTTCAAGCGCATTTCACGATCATATTGTTTGTATATGAAACTACATAAAGACATAAAACACCGAAGATGCGTTCTTTATGCTCGTCGCTGGATTATCTGTAACTCGTCTTAATTTTTACGCTGTGCGGATTTTCAGGATTATCGTTGGTATCATAAAAAACATGAAATTTCATATCTTTAATATCAAATTGTATTGTAATTTTTTCAGCCACTTTTTTCTCTCTTCGTTTCTTAGATGCCGCATTCATTTTCTCACTGTGCAACATTTATCATCAACGATCTTATCTTTGAATATATCTTAATTTGAATATCAAAATCTGATAAATATTTTGCACATATACAATTAAACGAAAAAGTATACCAAGAGAGCATTGGGTAACCTTTTCTGTCACATCTGTGGCAGTTTGGCAGACATCCTTACCGAGTTATTGTATAATCAATCGCGAAATGGTTTTTTGGTGTAGGAAAATACCCGGATGATATTGTGTAGACATTATGGTCCCCCGACCACACGCGCAACCCAAACAAGCAGCAGCTCAAAGGCAACACATAAAGAGTAACCACGGGTTAATGTGATTGTACACACGTATATCGGCAAGGACGTAGTATGGCGGGTTCACTTAGGGCGTTTGGCGTAATATAGGTCTACAACTTTGGAATTGTCTTGGCCTAAACACAGTATTATGCAGACAGCCAAATCTGTAGGAATAATTTTCTTATTTTCTCTCGTCTAAGTTAATTCAAATTTTGAAAATGCATGCGTTGGGAGAATCATCTTTTTTTAGAAACATATTGCAGATGAGTACATGTTCAGTGAGTCAAAATACATGTTTGTGGTAAAATGTCTGATTTTGTCTGGGCCAGAATAAAGAATTGTGACCCAAAGAGTATTTCATAACACCAAATTAACAGTGCAGATACATGATATGGCACTAACCACTTAAATTATGAGAAAGTAACTTGAAGTAGAATGCTGCGAACAAAGTCATAAATCCTGACGTCACTGTGTTGCGAAGGGTGTTCGAACAATTACGACTTTTATAACAAAAAAAAAATTCTTTGTATCACTGATGTGATTGACTTATTTCTCCATATCATATGTATAATAGTAGTCATCTTTGCATATGAAATTAACACCAGGGATAGTCAAAAATCATATATTTATTAATTAAGGAAGCTCTACACACTGCACACTAAAGAATTCTATTTACAGGATAGTTTTATGCAGTTAGAGTGATCTGCCCTTAGAAGTAAGATAGAAAAAAAATGTTATTTACAGTTGATTACACAATTTGTAATAGATTAAAATATTCTTAGCATCATATTAGACCATAAACAAGTATAAATGAATTCATTTTTATTCCATTTCTTTTCACTATGTAAGTAAACAACAGTAATTTCTGCTCACGAATAGTCTAGTCTTTGAAAATTTTTCCTGCGGAAATAAGGCACTCCGCAAGTACCCTTTGTTGAATATTAATTAAATAGTCTCAATATGCACACCTTTATATGATATATATTTCTCCAAGTCCAAAAAGCATTTTAATTAGTGTTTAGAGCTTCCTTAAATCAACGAGACCTGGGGGGGGTGTATTTATTTTAGTTACGAACATTCTGCATTAAAGTGGAATTGGATATAAGAAATTACCATCTTAATTTTCCTTGGAGACACCCTTACATATAACAATACAATTAAAATATCGCACTTTATGCTGTACAAATTACTAGCTGATATCCAGCTTAAATTCACACTAAACTTCTTCTTTAAACAATAGAGACACTGAAGACCTAATATTTTAAACAATTCCATATACATTAATGTAATGGTATAAGTCAAAATTATCAATATGATACCACACATTAAACACGGAAAAATATATATGTAAAAGTTGTAAGGAAATAGAATATAGGGGGGAAATCACGTTTCAGAATTTTTTGGTTTAAAAAATTTCATAATGTAATCGTAATACAGTGTACATGTATATGACATGAAATTAAAGAAACTTTCTCATATACATGTATACATAATGTGCATTAATATTTATATAATTTCTGATCTAAAAACTGTTAAATTAAAAGTCAAACTAAAAGTTTTCTTAATACCGGGAAAACCTGATAATTAAAAATTTAAAATCAAATTACTGTTATATTTCCAACTTCTTTTTTTGGGGGGAGTTTTTTTTTCACTCAGAATGTTCATTTGTAAATTCTCTGAATGTTCAACCTGAACATTTGCGGTTTCTCCTTTACAATAAAATTATGGACCCACCGCTGTTCAATTTATGGAAGTAATTGCTTCAACAGTCAATAAATACGATAATTCTAGATTATACAGCACTCCATTTCTTATGATATCCACAATGCGTAAATCAACTTTGTATTTATTAATGCGTCCTCTCCAATTTCTCACTAAATTAATGTTTGTTCAAAATAGTATTTAACTATTTATTTAAATTAGTGATTGATTCATTACTAGCATTGTATTTTTAATGACGTTTTCTTTAACTTACACTGCAAATTGATGCTGACTTCACATCAAATGAACAGGATTAAGTTTTCTTAAACTTCAATTCAAATTACAACTTGAATGTCAACATTTTTTTTTAATTTTCAGTTCTTAACTATATATAAGTGTGGTATGATAATTGCACGGTGGTAAAATAACTTGATTCTTCTCGCTTCACATTAAGAAATACATACAAATATTTTGATAATCATTACATTACAAAATGTCATAAGACTATATCGAGGGAAAGAACTTCATCGGGCGATGCACTGGATAGAGTTGAATCATAAACCCCTGAACCCCGAAAAAGGACATTAACTTTTGAATAACATTTTTAAAAATAGATATCATATGATTTTTTAAAACAATAAGGGAAAGTCAGATCAAAAATGGAAAAAATATATATGACACATTGGAATTTGTACCGAGTGTCGGTAATGGCATTTTTATACAGATATTGAAACCTGCAAAATCGATTGACTTCGATTGCACCCAGGTCATTCTGGTACATCCTCTCAAGCATCGAAATTGTATGAAAAAATTGAAATCAAGCGAAGTGGAGGGAGCCAGGGGTGATTCTAACTTTCCAAGAAGTGTCGACGTTTGACCAATCAGAGAGCAAAGTTTGCGTCATTGTATCTTGCATATCTCCATTTCAAATTGTTTTCGCACCTGCTATTATTTCAGTAACATGCAGTTTGGCCTCGCGGTATTTTCAGAGTCAGAATTCCAAAGAATATTAAACTTTCGTTTTCGATAAATTTTATTTCCCATGTGTCGATATGATATTTGAATATTTTTTTATATAATGAAATTTCTTTTATTGTAGTTAGATTATACAATATTTCGAGGAATTTCATACTTGCTAAGCCTGCTGGATAACGCAAATAGTATTTGAAAACATAAAGCTTCTGTGCAATGACAAATACTCTAAACAAGAAATGCGTTCCAAAAGATTTTTTGAATCTAAAATTTAAGATAAATTCTGAAATTATTTTTTTTTCTAAAAAAAATTTTTTTAGACACAGTGCAAAACGGTTACACAATAATGGAGCTTATCGAAAGAAAAACAGAACTCGACACCCTATCCAACATTTCAGAAAACAAATACACGGAGTAGAGGAATTAAATATAGACCACCTATGCAATGTTTGAACTTCTTTTTAAAGCAACTAAAGAGGTCCATGTTAGTTCGCGGCGGTGTTAAACGCCCCAAAGAAACCCGATCTCTCAAGACTTATGAAATTATGAACAGATAAACGGACATTATCTAACACAAAATTCGCTTCATAGCGGCAGAGAAGTCATGGGGTGCAGGTTTTGAAAACTTGACAAAACTCCCCTCCGCCGCGACCGTATTACGCCATTCAGAGGCCGGATTTTGAAGAATTTTCTTTTTAGTTTCACACTTATTCCTTTGCCACTTTAGAATCCCATACACAGATGTCAATAAAATGTAAGAATGAAAGTCAGAGAAATGACTCCGCTTTTCTCTCTGGGTTTTAGATTTCAGACTAATGCTAGACCGCCCACCATATTAGAAGTCTTTCAAAAACTCCGAGTTAAAATAAACAGGAAATTAATATGGGATGCCACCCAGAACAAATTATTTTATTTCATATTTATCAAAAAGGTAATTTATTTTTCATTTCGTATTTCATGGAAGAGGAAATATGATTCTCTAGTTTGCCCAGGGGTATTAACGATAAATATAGCAGTAATTAAACAATTTAGATTTTTTAAATCAATTTCCAGAACAACGGAAGGACGCAGTTATCTGTTCCAAAACTGCAACATTGTCTATTAAGTTGTAAAGTGTTAGATACTTATCAACTTAGAATAATTTCATGTTTTCAAAACGAATTTTGATAATGACAAGATCTAAATGTGTTTGCTCGAGATTTTAAGCTCGAGAAAAAATATACTTTCTGAAGTGGTTGCTCAAGATTTTAGATATTCATCAAACGAATTTACGGGCCATTTGTTTGTTTGAAGAAACTTTCTAAATTCGAATTGACACGGCAACACAATGGGAAACAAAGTCAACTTATCTATCTTTCTTTCACACTTCGAAGTCTTGATAACACACACATCTCCCTGACAGGAAAAAGAACTCTTTTTTCTCGAGAGTAGCAAGTCTTTTCGGATATTAGTGCAACCCTTATCGTCACTATCGCAAAATACTCTAAAACGTATCAAGGATCTGTCAAAAATATTATTATTTTAAAAACTACATCACGCAGAGTCCCGAGGTTTAGAATTACTGAGAACGCCATGATAAGAGTAAAATAACATGTATTACGTATTCTGTGCCCCCATCGATTATGCAAACAATTTAATCCAAATATTTCCAAGTGCTGTACTCAACATAATACGACTATAATTTGAAATCAATCAAAATAATCAGTTTTTATGAAATTTCCTGTCCTTTATTTTGCACATGATCAATGCAAAAATTCAATAATTTACCTGTAATAATCCTCTTTGCAGTAAATATTTCCGTCTCGTGCAAAGCAGGTGAGCTCTGAATCTAGACCAATTTTGCATTCGCAACATTTCAGGCAATGCACGTGCCACTGTTTGTCCACTGCCATCAGGTAATAACGGTCCAAAATCCTTGATCCACACCCGGCACAAAAACTTGGAGACTCAAATTTATTTAATACAGGCATTGTCTGTTAAATTAAAGAGGAAAATATATAAATAAATATGATGGAACTCTTGGCTTTTTATTTAATAATATAAGTAATTTGGCGTGAAAAAACGATAAAATTTCATAATATTTCAAATATTTTTTCAGATATACACAATAATTTCATTCTTAAAATTTATATATAGATGCAAAAGCAATTTAATTCATAATTCCATTTACTATTACATGTATAATTCTTTAGTGATTATGTAGATCTTTTTTTAAAAAAAAAACAAAACAAATGACACAGAGGGAGAAAACGCAACTTATGATAATGTGAAGTACCCCGTTTTATATTGGAGAGATAATTATCACTTAACCTAATCCCCTGGGTTGGTAATGAAGTTAACACATCGCTTGCAAGCTCCGGTAGTTTATTCATAACGAACCGATCGTTTGATCTGGGGAATGTTATGTCACTTGTTCCGGCGTATCATATTAGAAAATGAGATTTCCATCCCCTCCCCTTTCTCCTCATATTTATTAAGTAAATAAATATTAACTTCTAGGTTAAGGCCTATATGTTTAAATTTTTATTTCTTTTTGAAAAAAAAATGTAGACATTTATCAAAGAAGTATTTAAAAGCATCAACTTCTTAAAATCAAACTTTTATCACAATTAAAAATTATAATAAATAAAAAAAACTAATATACATTTTGAAATAATAATAAAAACAAATAAATTGGAAATAAAAATATTATGATGAAAACACAAGATATTTTTTTAATTATAAGGTCTTTAAAAAAAAATCAAATTTCATTGGATTTTACAAATTAAAATAAAAAAGATTGATTACAAAATTTTAAATAGTTAACAATAGTAATAAAAAATGTCACGACTATACCTGCATGTGGTGCTGATGCTGATTTAGATCGAACTGTGGCATTTCCCCGGAGCACGGAGGGGGGTCGGGGAAACCGTTATGCTCGGACAAAATCATATTGGTTTTCTCCACCATTCCGTAGTCCAAAGTTTGAAGTTCCCTGCCCACCATAAATTGATGATGTCGCGTGCAATTGAGTCACCATTCAAAAATCGTCCGCTAGGGAATATGTGTGTACCAACATTTTAGTTCGATGTACTTTTTAAAAAAATGTTTATCCAACTTTCATTAAAGTCTGAACAAGATGCTTCCTTGAGTTCTGGGGAAAAGCGTGCTCTTTCCGTGCGACTCAAAAAAATGTCGTCCTTAGCGTTTCCTTTTACTTTGAATACGAAGATTAGGTCGTATTTAATAAATATTTACTTATAAATTTGATCAAACAGTGAATGATTTTCCAATAAGACCGGCATTGGAAAATCGACTAACGCAAACTCGAGTATTGAATTATGTTCTTGCTACTCAAATCTTGTTTCAGCGGGGTTATGGGAGGGGCGGAGTCATTACGGAGCTCTCACGCGGCCTGGCTGGATACATCGTTAACTGAGTCCCTACTTCACGTCTTCTGATTGGTCAATACCAAGGCGCATGCTGAACTCCTCACGTAAGAAAAGGCGGGATTAGCTCCTGAAATATATTTTATAATGTCTTATTTCTCTGAGAAGTTTGATACAGTTGATATACAGTTTTTCTCGTTCAGTTTTTTGTTTAAATATATATTTATAATGCTAAAGAGTAAAGTGTTGAAAAGTTTTTTTCATACAGACAAAGATATTATCATGTCAGTTGTAAAATAAATTCTTTCTCAAGTCAAATATTTTTCGCGGTAATCCGGATTTGAAAAGAATTATAAATACCAGCAGACAACACGCTGTCGCTATTATCTCCTCACTCTATGCAAGAATTAAATAAAAATAATATAAGCAGCTAACAAATACTTAAATAAAAAAATGAAAAGAAACTTGGTCATAACAAGATAATGCTGACCCATTTGGAATGTACTGATTTTTATTTCAGCTGAAGAGAAGAGAAAAGCAACTACAAAGTCTCGTTAGCACCCCGACTGACGGCTTAAAATCAAGTGGGGATATCAGAAAAATGTGATGTTTCACACTTTGACAAGTAGCGAACACCTAATTCCGACATAAGAACACAAGGGGTCGGAAACGAACAGGCCCCAGTAATCCCAGGGTAAACATTTCGGTGTAACTTATTGGTGTAAATAACATTGTTTACAAATCTTATTAGGCTTCAGGATGATACCGTGAGCATATGTATGTGTGGGTTATTGGCAGGTCGAGAAATAGGCAGATTAATAAATGAATGGTTATTTTATTTATATAAAAAGTATATATTTGTTTTATTTTACATTACACAATTTTAATTTGAACTTTATTATTTAATTTAATAACAAACCTGTAAAATACATGTATAAGAATTAAAGAATACTATTACACTAACGCAGTAACACATTGAGAGAGAGAGAGTTTTCGAAAACTAAAGTTTCCTGCACCAAAGAATAAATTTTACCTCCCATAACTGTACTTATTTTTTAAATGGAAACATATATAAATACAAACAAGGAAAAAACTGCCGGTGCTTGATCGTGTGTCAGTTTTGTGGACCTTTTTCCTCAAAACTCTCTTTCCGTTACAATGGACGATGAAACATTTTGACAAACAGCTTAAAAGAGGAAATTTTAAACATAATAGTTCCTAAACCGGCAGTAAAGTGTCGTATTGTCCCTTGCATTGACACGTAATTTTTGAAAAAAAATTAATTTTAGACCTAGAATTACAACACCTTAAATGCTATAAAATTCTAAATATATTTTTAATATCTGCTAACATACTAGTATATCAAATCGTCTTCTGGAAAAGAGAGATATCATGGAAATCACAATAACTTTTCTCACTTATACACATACAGTACATGTGAACACAGAATAAAGACTGCATGTATACTGTGTATAATATTGACTGATAAATTCTTATTTATTAATTTTATCACCCTATATTGTTGATTATGTACTGTTACCTTTTATGTAAATAATACACAATAGTAAATATACAAACAAAAGAAAGTGCGATGGAGAACGGGTAAATCAGACGGTATATAAGCTAGTATTCTTTAAATAGGAGCACCTGCCTAAATTCATTGAACATGTATTCTACAACAGCATTATGATGTAACCCATATCAACAGTTTTTAATTTGATAATAGAAATGACCGTTTGAACTCAGCATTCGTGTAACATACACGGAATTAATATAGATATATTCTGGGTTACGCGCAGATCAAATCTAGACCTTAATGAAATTAATGCATTGATTTGATAAATCTGAGTTCGCATTTTCTTGTAAATACTTAATGTCGTCTGTAAAGGATCTCAAAATTTTATTTTCTATACGAATTACGTTAATTGAACTTTCGATCAAAGTTTAATTTAAAAACCTATTACAACTGCGAGCATTTGTCTTCACATAGAGAAAATTTCAAAATAAATATCTTTTTTTAAAACTTAACCCTCAAAATCCTATCTAAAACATTTCAAGCTGATCGACAAAGATCGGTGATTTAATCAAAAGTTCTTACACAGATTTATATGTATTATAGCTCTAAAAATACAAGATATTTATTATTGTCCACTTTAAACATTCAAATTATATACGGATGTGAGTTTTTCGTATCTAACAAGCTGAAAGGGTCACAATACCTGAGTCTATAAATAGCAAACAATAAAAATATCATGTGCAGATAAGTTAACTAATCCGGAAGTTAAAATCTTGCAATAACGAAACTAGTCTACCGAAAATTTACGGAAATTTCTCAAGGTTTAAAAACGAAAGGAAAAAATATGGCAGCAGCATTGATAGGGAAAACTGACGTAGGTGTCAAAGAATTTGGAAGAGATGTCGAAGTAGCAGAAAACCCAACAGCGAAGTTAATGTACTACCTGGATAGCATCTGTTATGTCCTGAACATAGAAAAAACCGAAAGTAACATCCGTAAACTGCGCGATTACAAGAACTATAGGAGACTGAGCAATGATGAGGTTGATCAACTGATTTTACTCTGTGTTTTGTTTTCCCCGGACGTGCTCCTCGGTAAATGTATTTTCCCGGACGAGGAAATGTGCGGGATGGATATGAACAAGTTCTACGAGCTAAGCGCGGTGTCGCACCGATTTCTCGTAACGGAAGAAATCGTGGTCGGGGGCCAAACCAGAAGAGTTCAGAAGATTCTCTTTTTCAGGGACATCTGGTTAGAGTGTTTTTATTTGGAACCCATAAAGCAATACCAGTCAAAAATTGAAGGGATTGCTGCAAGTCTGAGAGAAGGCCGTGTTGCTCGACAGCGTCCGCAACCTAGAGCTATTGCTGCAACCCCAAGCCGCACTACTCAGACACCAGTGCGTCCCCAGAGACAACAGAGTGCGTCTCGACCGAGCGCGTCCCAGCCAGCAAAGAAAGATGACAGTAGTTGCGTCATTATTTAGTGTAAGCGCCAACCTGACGACCTATTCTTCTTTAGAACTACTTTGGCCTTAGAAATACATAAACTCACCTAAGCATGCTTGTAAATTCCCAAGTTCTTTACAATTCTTTCTCCACGACGTGATGTGCCATGACGTACTTGTATTTTGTTTCCCCTTCGAAAAAAATTATTATAACTCTCTAAAAGGAATTCAAGGAGAAAGGAAAAACATGCAAAAAGTGCCAACTCTTTGTTCTTCATCATACGGAAATGACATTTTTAACGCCTTGTTTCAATATACATATGTTTTTATTTAGTAACATATCTTTATCCTCCCAACCCCAAGTTTTCCCCTTTATCCGTCTCCATTGTCTGACTCTCAAAACATCTTTATGTAGAAATTGTTTATATGCTTAGGATACAGCTGGCACATTCAAGTACAATTAGAAAGAATATGATTAGTAGTAGTAGGCTGTTATATTTTGCTTGAACTTAATTTTGAAAAAAATGCTGTACATATATTTTATATTGGAAAAAAAAAATTAAAACACACACACATACAAACAAGAAAAAAAATTAAATAAACATTAAATAAAGAGAAAAGTGAGTAGTCAGCGTGTAATTAAAAATATTTCATTTAAATAATTAAGATATATATGTAATTCGCATTTTACCCATTTATAATTTGAGTTAATCGCCTGATAAAGGTTTTATGCAAAAATATTTTACATTAAATGTAAACACCTCGATCCCCCAAATAATAATGAAAGAAAAAGGAAAGGCCCTAAGCCTGTTATCAAATCCTTTTCTTATCAAACCACATGCGTATACAATATTATACACATGCAGTTTGAATGTACGTAATTTAGATCTACACCTACTGTAAAATCACATACTAGTATTTTCGAAGTGTAACATTTTCATGGTTTCAGGAAAAAAAATTAAAACAACAAAATTACACTCCCTCCCGATATGAGTGATTTCACAGTATATATTTTAATTTTCCTGTTTTTTTTTTCAATATTGTAGAACATATGATAGATTCCAATCGAAAACGAGTGGTAGACAATAGCTGATGTTAATCCATACTTCTGATAAAAAAAAATTGCAAATGTATATAGCTCACCTCTTTCATAGTGCTGTATAATGGTTTTTTAAAGATTCTAAAACTAAGAGTATTTTGGTTATTTAATTTAACCATTAACATAGTATAACCTATATTTGGTTTTATAAAGCGAGGGGATTCCAAGTCTGTCCGTCACAAAAACTTTAGCCCATAACTTTTGATTTAGTGGAGCTATGATTTTCATATTTCACATGTGTATTCCTTGTGATAAGACCTTTCTTTGGGTACCACCAAATTTGACCTTTTGACCTTGGAGTCTGTCCCACTTTTACACAAAATTTTTAAACTTTTACTTTGGCCATAACTTTTGAATGGTAGGTACTAGGACTTTCCAACAACACTGACCTATTGACCTTGACCTTGGAAATTTACGTACTTATGAAAAAACTTTAACCTTGGCCATAATTTTTGAACAGTAAGGGCTATGGCTTTTATACTTCAAATAAGTTATTCTTGTAAAAAGACCTTTCATTGGATACCAAGAACTTTGACCTTTTGACCTTGACCTTGGAGTTTTAACTACTTTTTAAGAATTATAACCTTGGTCACAACTTTTGTACAGTAGATACAAGGACTTTTATGTTTCACATATATATTCTTTGTGGCAAGACCTTTCATTGGATACCAACAATTTTGACCTTTTAACCTTGACCTTGGAAATTTACGTACTTCTGAAAAACTTTAACCTTGACCATAACTTTTAAACGGTAAGGGCTAGGGCTTTCGTACTTCACGTATGTAATCCCTAAGAGAAGGCCTTTCATTGCATACCAAGAACTTTGACCCAAAAAAAAAATTGCAAATGTATATAGCTCACCTCTTTCTATATGTACATAGTGCTGTATAATGGTAGTTTTTAAAGATTCTAGGGAAACTAAGAGTATTTTGGTTATTTAATTTAACCATTAACATAGTATAACCTAGATTTGACCTTGACCTTGGAGTTTATATACAACTTTTGAACGGTAGAAACTAGGACTATCATATTTTAAATATTTATATTCTTTGTGGCAAGACCTTACATATGATACCAATAACTTTGTTTTGTTGTAATTATTTTTAAAATATATATTTAATAAATGCGTGTATAATTGTGTTGTAATTATTTTTAAAACTTGGTATTCTGATTTGTTATTTTAGTTTTGTACATTATTTTATCTTTAGAATTGTGCTTTTTATTTGTTGAATCAAAATTAAAGAATGTTGTGCATGTGTACAAACTTTCTTGCAAAAAATTCTGATTAGTAAATAAACAATGATAAAATGATAGCCAATATTTTTATAGTTATAGAAATAACACAAGGTGTATCGATGCAATATTCCTGTCAGAAAGTTTTAAGGCTAAATTGCAAATTTTGGAAGTATATGAATTTTTTTGAAATATTCATTTTTTGCATTAGAAAAACTATTTTTAGTAGACACATTCAAGTTATATTTGTAATCTTATACCTATCAACGTTTACAAGAAATGAAAATAGATATTGATAGATTTTATATACCAAAAAAATACGGACAGACATGTTGATAAAAATGTAAACGTTTTTCTACATCACAGAAAGTTAAACATACAACTATACGAGATGATAAATTCAAATTCTATAAACAACTCAGTGATAATTCTTTATCAAACGACTTCAATGCCCAAAGTGATAGCGCAACATTCAATTTAAAAGCAATCGTCCTTCATAATGAGGAAACGAAACGAGGACTTTCAGACATCATCTCGAAACAACACGTGTCTAACTTAGGACGACTTGAAATTATTCTACATTTTTTCCGCTTTTGGTCCGAAATCAATGGAAAGCCACGTTTATAGATTTTGGAGCGAACCCTAGGACCGTAAAACAACGAACGACGAGCTCTTGTTTAGATCTACAAATTGGAATGTTTTATCTGCAAATGATGATTTAATGGAGCTGTAATGCCTCGTCTTGACGGGGGTATTTTCTTCAGCAACAAGGGAAAAATGGCTAACGAAACTAATAAGGACCAACTGTTTATTAAAACCCTTCCTTTATTTTCGAGATGAGTACAGCCTTTTAACTGCATATTCCTAAGAATCATCTTGAGGGAAACGCACAGATTTTATATCCTTTTATTGGAGTTTTCATCTGCACTTTAAAAGTACTAAATTACAGTGCTTTTTATTAATGATAATAATGTTTCGATAACTTTTAAGAGCTATAAAAGTTTAAAAATATAGATCTTTCAACAGACCTGTTCAACAAAAGATATTTTTGGGGATGGTTAAACTAGAATTTAATTCATGCGAAAGAAAGGTTCTTGAATATAAAAATGGTCATATTTTTTAAAATATAAAACTAAATAGAATTTAGATTTAAATAAAAAGTTCGAAGCTTTTTAGACTGGAACAAAATTATTTTTACATAAAAAAGCTACAGAAACTAAATAAATGTACATGCATTTGTAGCACAAAGTATTTGTCAATAAAACATATATTTTGTAAATATCAAAAATAAAGTTTTCATCATGCTATAAAGTTGTCTTTAACTTTCTTCGACTTTGATTCCTATTCGTGGAAGAGGGGAAACGGGGGCAAATTTTCAATGATAGAACTATAACTAATATGAATCATGTTGAAACAATAATTATGATGATGCAAAATAATCAATTTCTGAGCCAAGCTTTGATAAAGTATAAAAGAAGATTTGATTCATATTTGTTTCAGAACCTTCGCCACAATGCGTTGCCCTTCCTATACACTATGGAGTTTTCCGGGGACCTGCCTACCGTTAGTCGACGGTCATGATTTGACAAATCGGAATTTATTCCCTCCGATACAATTTGATAGGACTTTGATAAAACTTTTTTTCTCTGGCAAGCGTATGCTGAAGACGGCGTCAGGGGTAATTGATTGCATGATGAATGACCTGAACCCCGGACAAATTTCTACCGTAGATACCAATATTGGTTCCGACAGTATCATTTCTTCATTTGGGTCTTGTGAAATTGACATTAATTTGTTTCTAATCAGTATATGAGGGTCTGTTATTTCTAAAGCTCGTCCCGTTGACAAGATAAGGAGGGTGGCAAGTATAGATGGACGACGACGTCATCATCTTCAATATATACATGTCAAGCGCATGTTTCATTAGGATTACATTGAAATTTGGTGTTTATTTCCCGTTATTTAAGTAGCTATATTTAGCCTATAAGTTTTAGTTTTGCAGGAAAAATGTCTTTGAATATAATTATTGCTAGATAGAACCTTCTATCGTATTAAAATGATACTGTACTAAGGACCCGGTGTAGCGAGAGCTTGTCCCGAGACACAGTTAGATTAACTTGTTATCTTAACAAAAAATAATTTGAATGGAAACAAGAACGGAGAAAACATAATATATATATATATATATATAAGTTGAGCAAAAAAAAAAAGAATAAATAAAATCATTGATTTTCAAGATCTTGAACACACATGTACAGCCAGGAATTTTCCAAAACATTTTCGGAATGTTTCCCCTGTTAGCAATAACTTCACAGCATCAAGGTAATCCTGATGTCCCAGTAGCGTCTTGACAGCTATCCGTTTATTTATTTGAAATTCAAGAAATAAAAACTTTTAAGCATGAAACCCCAACCCTCTGGCTGATCATTTAACTGTCATAGACTGCTCATTTTATTGATATCGAGGGGGCCCCGAAGTCCCCTACATCCGCCCGCACTCTTCTGCTGCGCACGGAAGTGGCGGTGTCTCAGCTGCCGCGTCCAGCGCGCTAATGATATAAAGGATAAGTTGTCGTCTGCTGACAACCTCTTCCAATCATTATGATCGTCATTGAGAAATTAAAAAGAAAACTGACGTTAGAAATGTTTCATGGTGCCGACATTACAAATTGGTCACACACACTAGGAATGGTTCCAGGCGACAATCGAATTTCTTTTAGACTTGAGGTTCTGGTGATAAAGTCGTTCACCTTAACACAAATTAATGTGTTTACTTCAGATTAAAAGATTATAAAACTGTACCTGTTTTCGAATTAAATGATTAAATGATAAAACTATTCTCCTTGTTCGACCATGAAATATTTTGTGAAAATAACAGAAATAAAATATGTTAAGATTTCTTAAAAGATTAATTTAATGGATGTAATGTTCTTCTACATCTTAATCAAAGGCATCGTCGCAAACTAAGTCCAAAAAGTACGATCCTCTCCCATTCTGGAAAAAGCTGTATGCGGAATCCGAACAGTGGTTTGAGAAGATGAATCAAGGGATAACTTTTTGGAACAACTTTAAACTTCATGACATGGGCAATGCATTCGGTAGCAATTATATATTCTGCTGAGAAAAGTATTTTTTCCCTTAATTAATCGGTTAAAGCAGACAATTTATAGCATCCGTATTAAAGTTCAAATGGAATTTATCACTAAAATAAAGTCAATGAGTTTATTCTTGACAAAAAATAAAATGTGTACAATTATTTCGCGGAAATATATATTACGGTTTATACAGTGCGCTGCATATTGTTTGGATTGCGATGCGATTTATGCTTTCCTTTTTATATTCATATCATTGGGGGAAATGGCGTTTGTTGGTAATGATAGATTGTACTAAATAGTAGTATTATGTGCAACTTTTTAATTTCTTTCGACGTCTCTCAGTATTTCAAACACGCGCCAAAAATACTTGATACGCGATCCAGTTCTTTAAACAAGAATTATAAATATAAGGAAAAACAAACTGTTCTAATTTCTTAAGCATCCCTGCAAAACGTTAATAGAATGATCAGAAGTCTCCGAAAGAAAAGAAAGCCACGCTCCGGCAAAACTTCACTAAAGAAGTTAATGACAATGGTCGGCTTGCTATTCCCCTGATTACACCTTGCTCGTCTGGCGAACACAATCTGACGTTTCCGATACTATATTTGCGTGAAGAAATACCTCAGGGCCCCTTCCTGAAAGTATTCTTCAGAGTAAATCCTCCGATCTCACGGAACCTTTTTCGCCATTCACGCTGCACATGTCGGTTTTCCAAGCAGCGACTGCCACAGGCGACAGGTGTGACAATTCAGGCACACAGCAAAAAAACCGGGAAAACGGTTATTTTGATCCAGAGTCATGAAACTAGGAGGAATATGACACGAAATGACTTGTATTGAGGTTATAAAACTTATACTTACCTAAAAATCACATACTAAAAGCTTATTCACTTTCGCTGTATACATTTATTTGATTCTTTTCTTTTTATTTAAGCTTTCTATTGTGTCGTAAATTAAACAAATTTTACTTGTTTTGAAAATAGTGTTAGACCTAAAGCAAAGCAATAATCTCGAGTCGAAAAAAATAACGTCGGGATCGGAATATAACAAAATTAAAATGACGTAGAATGTGACGTCATAGATAAGTGCTAACCGGTATGTTAAGAAATTATGCTAAAGATAATTCGACTTTTGCTCTTCAGTCTGATTCTTGATGCCTGTAAGTTTTTCTTTTCATTTTAGATTATCTACAACTTGTTTTTTTTTATGCATGACGTCGTAGACAAGATGAAGCATTGCATACATAGCTCCAGTATGGATAAAGCGATGAAGACAGAAGTTGTAGATACCGTTTTTTATAAGCCTATTGTCGATATTTGCGTACATTCGAAACGTTTATTTTCTTATAAAATGTATGTTTACAATTTTACACTCATTAAGATCACATTATAACTACAAAAGAAAACACCACACAATATTCTTTGTAAGTTCCATCTTGCTGTCATATGATTTCGGACATTGACAATGCTGGGGTGTATGTTAGAGATTATATATCTGGTAAGCTTTCATTGCTTTGTTTATAATGAGATTTTCTTGCATATTAACATACAGTGATTTTATTATGATTTATGTCAGACTTCTCATACAAAACTATACTCACATGCACTTAGGAGTTACCGCTCTTTTACCTTACCTACTTGGAATACCTCCCATCCTTCTCTATCCAGGGTTGTCAGCTTGTCTGCCACTACGCTTTCACTGTAGCGGGAACGACAACTCTGGATAGAGAATGGGACCCCCAGGCACTTGTTTAGTAAAGTAAATAGGGATGTCCTGTATGTAAGAAAAAGTGCCCCCCTCCCAACACACACGTACACAGAAATTCTACATAGGCCTACATCACAGATTTTTAAAATGCCATGACTTTATTATTTATTTATTTAAAATATTTATTTAAAAAAAAAAGGCCTAGTGCATAAATTGAATAAATGAGTATCTCTGCTGCCACATAACATTTTCAAAAAAAAACCAATTTAATAATTTTAGCATATAGCATGTATACGTGAAGAGGGTTACAAAAATTATGATTTATATTTTGCCCCTTCTTTATATTTGGTAACAAAACCACTAAAATTAAGAAATGCAATCTAACTTAATATTTCATTTTATTAGACTACATATACTTTTATACATGTATATTAATTAACTGTTAATGCATGATTGTAATCAGCAAAAATTTAGTCCTCTACCAAAATTGTGAAATTCATGGCCCTGGGGTCAGGTGTGTTCTAGTGCTAGGGCGGGGCTAAATAAGTATATAGTGAAAATGCATTATTTCTTTGAAAATCTTTTTCTACTCCTGGGTATTAAATAAACCAAATAAGTACATAGTTATGATGAGCAAGAGTGCCTCTACCAAAATTGTGAATTTTATGGCCCTAGGGTCAGGGGTTCTTGTGTTAGGGCGGGGCTCTATTGATTATATATAGTGAAAACACATGATTTCTTTGAAAATCTTCTTCTCTGCCCCTGGGTATTAAATATACTAACTAAGTGCATAGTTATGATGAGCAAGAGAGCCTAGCTACCATAATTGTGAATTTTATGGCCCCAGGGTCAAGGGTTCTTGTGTAAGGGAGGGGGGGGGGGGGGTCTGTTGATTATATAGTGAAAATACATGAATTCTTTGAAAATCTTCTACTCTGCTCCTAGGTATAAAATAAACTAACTAATTGCATAGTTATGATGAGCAAGAGTGCCTCAACCAAAATTGTGAATTTTATGGCCCCAGGGTCAAGGGTTCTTGTGTTAGGGAGGGGGGGCTCTATTGATTATATAGTGAAAATAACGAATTCTTTGAAAATCTTCTTCTCTGCTCCTAGGTATTAAATAAACTAACTAAGTGCAAGTTATGATGAGCAAGAGTGCCTCTACCAAAATTGTTTAATTTTATGGCCCCAGGGTCTGGGGTTCTGGTGTTAGGGTGGGGCTCTATAGATTATATAGTAAAAATACATGAATTCTTTGAAAATCTACTACTCTTATCCAAGGTATTAAATAAACTGACTAAGTGCATAATTATGATGAGCAAGAGTGTTTTTACCAAAATTGTGAATTCTATGGTCCCAGGGTCAAGGGTTCTGGTGTTGGGGGGGGCTCTATTGGTTATATTTTGAAAATACATGAATTCTTTGAAAATCTTCTACTCTGCTCCTAGAAATTAAATAAACTAAGTACATAGTTATGATGAGCACGAATGCCTCTTTTAAAACTATGAATTTTATGGCCCCAGGGTCAGGGGTTCTGGTGTTTGTGGGGGGGGGGGGCGCTATTGATTATATAGTGAAAATACATTAAATATTTGAAAATTTTCTTCTCTGTCTCTGGGTATAAAGCAGATGAACTACCTTTATAGTTATTATCAGCAAGGGCCCTAATCTTGCAGACTTGTGAATTTCAAGGCCCCAGGGTCAGGGGTGGGGTGGGGGCTCTACTTATATACTGAAAATGAATTTATTGTTTGAAATCTGCTCTTTTGTATTTATAAACCATTTATTTATTGATATTAAGGGTGCCTTTTTAAAATTTGTGCAATGTGTGGACCTTAAGGGTCAGGGGTTTAGGTCACAGTGTTAGAGGCACTACTGATTAGTTGGAATGCATTTTTGTTCCCCTACCCTGCGTATTCAGTAACCAAGCTAAGCAACTGCTAAGTGTATTGTTATGATGATCAATGGTGCCTCTTTCAAAATTGTGAATGTCATATACCATCTGGCTTAAAACATTAATCAAATTCAATAACTGGAAAGTTGTTGCATAATGCTCAGGTGACCTATAAGGCCCGTGGGCCTCTTGTTATTTAAATTATTCATTTAAAAAGGCCTAGTGCATAAATTGAATAAATGAGTATCTCTGCTGCCACGTAGCAAATCAAAAACAATTTAATGTTGAGAAGAACTGTATACGTAGAGGATTACAAACTTAATTTATATTTTGATACTTCTTTACATTTGGTAACAGCTATTCGTTTTCATAGATTAAGAAATGGACCAGCTCTAATCTAATATTTCATTTTATTAGACTACATATACTTTGATGTATGTATATTAATTAATGCTTATTACTGAATATTCAGAGGTCTTAACAGTACGTACACTATATTTCTAAAAGTTAGAAGACGCTAAATAAATCAAACATTCCCCTGAAAACATGTGTTTAATGTATCGCGATGAAGACCTTTTAAAGGTCTCGTTTTAATCCTTTCTTAGATGAAAATTGAAAAAATGAACTATACATTAACTTATCAAAAAATGAATTTTATTGTTTATTTTTTTTTCAGACATTGATTAAATTGGGGAAGTGAATATATACTGATGTTTCCTGCACATTTTAGGAGGCTATTTTTTTTTTACTTTGATTCTGAAAATGTTCTTTCAGACTGTGAAAGGATTCTCGCTGACCCCTACGAGCCTGCTGAAACTTGGTTCACAACCCGACCACCCAGCACAATCCAAAACAAAGGATCCGTAACTCCCAGTGCACCCACACCCTTCAACAAGGAGAGGGAATACGCTAAAATCTTAAACCTGATCCGAGATGTCAAAAAGTCGCTGGTAAAAAATAACGAGGAAGAAAACAGAAAGAATAGACAAGAAGAAAAAGAAAGAGTAAACAATGAAGAAAAATCAAAGTTGAAAAGTGTTCCCTTATTTCCATCCGACAAGAAACAAAATGTCGTCGTCAAGATACCTAATCATCGGAAAGAAACAACGGAGAGTCAGCAGACATCGCGACAAGCTGAACATCAGAGGCTGGTAAAACACCTACGGCATTTACTTACCAGCGAGCGAGAGAAAATACGACTCGGAAAGCATGATCCTAGAAAAGGTTGGGCATAAATCGACTTAAAAAAATTGTTTGCATGCCATCTCTTCACTAAGTAAAAATGGTCAAACTTGAGACTAAAATCTTTTTCACCTCCAAGAAACTACTATTTTTTTCATATTATTTCAGGAAAATAGATTTTTGAAAATTTATCATTGATCTTGAAATTTCTTGGGAAAAAATTCTAACCTATCTTTCAACTCATTCTTTCAATTTGAGTCGAGAGAGGACAAACAAATATTTTTATGTATTAAAAATGACATGAGTTATTGAAAAGGTTTTTTTTTTTAAATACATATCTTACAATTGAAAAAGGAAAAATTATTTTCTGTCATGTTCCTTTTTAATTTTTTATGCATTCGATTAATCGCTCTATTTTAGGTCCATTTCATTATGGCGAGGTATCAAAGCCAATTATAATAAAGACTGAACCAACGGCGGCAGCAACCCAGGATGACGAAGTCGCGAATGACAAAAAGAAAATAGAAAAGCAGATCCTTAAAAGTAAAACCCCTTCATCACGTGAGGACAACTTAGCTGACCTTTCTGCACTCGTACACAAACTTGGCGTCCTGGCTAACGTATCGACCTTCTGGAAAGACAAGCCAAAGCATTCTGAGATGCAACAGAAGACAGAAAAGGAAAGACCACGCGATATTACGGAAGGTTTATATTTTCTTATATTCACTTCATATTTTGCACTTGTATGTACTAATGAGTGATCTGCATGAATGCTTTACGAAAAGTTGCATACACTCAGGTTGTGATATCTAGAATGTATGAAATGCTAAAATAATCATATACTAAGTATTACCTACATTTAATTTCTTTTACTATTTAAATTAATGCAGTATTTACTTATGGAGCTTTTTTTGACATTTTCTCATCAAACAATTACTAGTATGACATGTTGCGTTCACTTTCTGGACAAACACATGTTAACCCCCGCCCCCCCCCCCCCCTTTTCCCAATGAAATTGCTTCCAAGTTCCTACGGCCTGTCATGTAAATCTAAATGCAAAAAAGTTTAGTTTATGAAAGAAAACCAAAAACTTCATGTAGAAAAGGACTATGTATATCATTTATGTATAAAAATATTATTTGAATAGCACTTATTATGGATGTTTTGAGCAAAACTACTTATTAATATTTTAAATATGAATATAATTCTTTGTTCAAGGTTACGTTATTAATAGTATTATGTGTAATTTAGATGTAATTCAAAACATTCTTGAAGACAGATTTCATGTTACATTTACATGTAAGTAAAATCATGAAATTTGGCAGACAAATAAATAAATATTTTATTAATACAGTCAAAATAAAATGAATTCGTATGATTTTCGGAACACATTTTAAGTATTTTTGTAATTCATACAAGTTTTATCAAACTTTGTTTCAGACCAGGCGTTTTGGGTGGGACTTGTGGTGGGATGTGGGGTCGCTGTTTTCGTTTTTGCCGTGTGTTACTTCATCGCAGTGTTGTATCGTACCTTCAGACGGTTAGTATTCATTTATAACAATACATTTATTTTTTTTCATACATGCAAATCCCTTGATATCACAGACATAGATGTACGTGCATTGATATCACAGACATAGATGTACGTGCATTGATATCACAGACATAGATGTACGTGCATTGATATCACAGACATAGATGTACGTGCATTGATATCACAGACATAGACGTACGTGCATTGATATCACAGACATAGACGTACGTGCATTGATATCACAGACATAGATGTACGTGCATTGATATCACAGACATAGATGTACGTGCATTGATATCACAGACATAGAAGTACGTGCATTGATATCACAGACATAGACGTACGTGCATTGATATCACAGACATAGATGTACGTGCATTGATATCACAGACATAGATGTACGTGCATTGATATCACAGACATAGATGTACGTGCATTGATATCACAGACATAGATGTACGTACATTGATATCACAGACATACTAGTAGATGTACTGCATTTAGCTTCTTTTTTCTTTCTTTCTTCTTTTTTTGTCTCTGAACAATCGTGGTGTTTGTGCATTATACAATTTTACAAGAAATAACTTTTCGACACAAAATACTTTTACACGTACATACAAAGTCTATTGCTCTATCTGAGAGGCGGATATATTCAGTGATAGGACACTGGATCAGTACATTTTTTTATATGGCATAAGGCTTTCATAATCTAAAAACATACATGTATAGGATGTATGTAACTATTTATTTATGCAGAACTATTTTCTTTTCCAGAAAAAATGATGGCAGTCATAGACCCCTCGACTTGAATTTTAACTGTCCACCAGAGAGTTACAAAGAACGTTATTCTACATTTTCTCGAATGCACGACCCCAAAACCGGCAAAAAGTATATAGTGTTGTAAGTTGTTCAGTCATTACCAATATACGTGACGTATAAACATGTTATTTCTATAACAAAAGATTTGACAGTGCAATCAATTTTTTTGTACTTTTATTTTGTTTTTGCGCGTAAAGATCGGACGAAACAAAGAATTACTCCATAAGTAGCTCGGACTCAAGTGAGGAGGAAATCTACAACGCCTCTAGTCATAGCCCCGTCAGTAAACCTGTCCATAGCCCAATCAGTAAGCCAGCCCTAAACGTCAGTAACAGGTAAGTCACCGTCACGTCAGTAAACCTGTCCATAGCCCAATCAGTAAGCCAGCCCTAAACGTCAGTAACAGGTAAGTCACCGTCAAGTCAGTAAACCTGTCCATAGCCCCACCCGTAAGCCAGCCCTAAACGTCAGTAACAGGTAAGTCACCGTCAAGTCAGTAAACCTGTCCATAGCCCCACCCGTAAGCCAGCCCTAAACGTCAGTAACAGGTAAGTCACCGTCAAGTCAGTAAACCTGTCCATAGCCCCACCCGTAAGCCAGCCCTAAACGTCAGTAACAGGTAAGTCACCGTCAAGTCAGTAAACTTGTCCATAGCCCCGTCAGTAAACCTATCCTAAGTCCAATCAGTAAGCCAGTCCTAAATGTTAGTAACAGGTAACACACTGTCACGTCAGTAAACCTGTCCATAGCCCCGTCAGTAAACCTATCCTAAGTCCAATCAGTAAGCCAGTCCTAAATGTTAGTAACAGGTAAGACACTGTCACGTCAGTAAACCTGTCAATAGCCCCGTCAGTAAACCTATCCTAAGCCCAATCAGTAAGCCAGCCCTAAACTTCAGTAACAGGTAACACACTGTCACGTCAGTAAACCTATCCTAAGCCCCATCAGTAAGCCAGCCCTAAACGTTAGTAACAGGTGAGTCACTGTCACATCAGTAAACCTGTACATAGCCCCGTCAGTAAACCTATCCTAAGCCCAATCAGTAAGTCAGCCCTAAACTTCAGTAACAGGTAACACACTGTCACGTCAGTAAACCTAGTATCATAAGCCCCATCAGTAAGCCAGCCCTAAACGTTAATAACAGGTGAGTCACTTTCACATCAGGAAACCTGTCCATAACCCCGTCAGTAAGCCGATACTCTAAACGTGTTTTTCAAAAGTGGGTCAAATTCTAAGCCTAGGTCAAGACTTCCACAAGAAGTCAAATATGAAGGTACTAGTATCCAAAACAAGTCTTATCACAGGAAATACACAATAACTCCAACCAATTAAAAATCATGGACAATGTTTAAAGTTTTTTAGCAAAGACAGACAGACGGATGGACAGGACAAAAACTATGATTTATCCATCTATCTTCGATTATGGAGGCATAAAAGGAGTAGACTACAACATTTGTAAACGTCTATAAATTGAATTTCTCCTAAGCTATTTCGATTCAAACTGTTCGTCAGTGATGTTTCAAATTTTATAAACTTACTTTCAGAAGCAGTATGAACAGGACCTCCACTCCAATCAAGACCCCCCTCCGGCTGACCAGAAGTGCCCCGGGGTCCCCGTCCGTGCGGAGGAATCTCAGTCACTCGTGGACCTCACCCCCGGTATCCCCGCTAGCCAGCGTTACACCCGTGTTTGCTTCCCCGGTCAAACTTCCAGGGTAGTCTGGATAACAAAAAACTACTCACAAAATTCTGATAGAAATATTTCCTTCTACTTACGCAAACATTAAGTTTTTGAATTGGTGACTCGTATGTCGAATAAAAAACATTTTATTCCAAGTATCGATAGATGTTTGTTAAACTTCTCTTTTCTTTTTCAGTATTAGCTTAATGTGGAGTACTTTTCAAATAAGACAATGCTAAATTTATGTATTTTTCCTTGATTTTTTAAGAGAGTTTACAGATTAAAATTTAAAAATATTTAATTATTTATCTATACACGTATCTTACGATATCGAATTTTATGCAAATTAAACTGTAATTTGAGAATAAAGTGTTAAATCGAATTAGTGTCTTGTAAGTTTGATACCAAGGTTGTGAAAATTGTTTAGTGACATGTTCTCATTTGAAAAACGAAGTTCAATAATTAAAGACAAAATACTTACCTATAGGGCGTACACGAGTTTCGTGCAAATGAAAAGTTCTCCGTCTATAAATAGAACAGGGGTGTTCCAAGGAATTCCCATACTCTGAATCGCGATCGGCATGCCTGGACATGTTTTCACGTGAACCAAGATCACAGAGAGTTTAGACAAATTTCAGTCAATGAAACATTTTTGAAAGAAAACTTCTTATTTATGATGTTGTAAATGAATAGCGCCCTTCGTTTTCTTTCTGAACGGCATTTTGACAGAAGTACGCACGATGGATTTCGCATTACCCGTGCAAAGGCGTAAGAAACCGAGGTTAGTGGAGTTTTATACATCTACCAGAAAGACTGTGACTTTACAAAGATGAATGAAGGAATAAGTAAGAACTTGTAATAATGAAGATACAACAAAACTGAAAGGATTTTCTTGATGTGTACTTACGAAGTATTTTTTTTCACTTATTTTAGCATCATCATATCTAGATAACTGCTCGCATTCTGAGGGTATTTGAAATTTTTGTAACAGAATCATTAATATACAGGTATCTTTAAAAAAGTAAGAGGGCAAAACAAATTATGTAAATTGTTGAAAATATCAAGAATTATTTTCATTTAAAAAAATGAAATTATATAATACGCTTATGACCTGAAGCAGTTATTCAAAGATGTAAGCATGATGGTGAAAAAAATTACAAATGAAGATCTCATGTACATGTATATTTATTCTTTCTTTTAATCAAACGTTTTGACATATTGTTTGATCCGCCTCTCTATTTCAGCTCAGACTTTAGGCCCGGGGAGGAGATTTTGAAAGTTGTACAGAGACTGCTGGTCAGCTACCCATTCATCATCAAGATGAAACGAAAACTTCTACCAAAGAAACCTAAATACAGGGTGAGTCCTATATTATATAGTCGTCCCCATACCTCCAACAAAAGAAGTTTTTCACGTTACATGTATAAGCAGTGGTAAACATTTCTGTGCCCAAAACTACTCACATCTTGCAGTAAATGTAGAAATTGTCTGACTGCCTGTGGCATCAACACTGAACTCTAGTAGTTCAAAGATTATGGTACGCTTTTAAAGTCCAATGAGTAGTTTGCATATGTCTGCATGTAACCATTCTAAGTAATTAACGACTAACAATAAAGATTTATAAATATATAGGATGAAATCATTGGATTGGCATTTCAGTTGTTCAAAGTCTTTATTTTCTGGAGGAAGCAGCGAAATAAGGAATATGATCGACCGCTGATTACTCATTCCACTTCCTCAAATGTTTGTAGGAACCTCATTAATGAATATATATATCTTTGTGAGATCTTTATATTCGAATGATAATGAAAAAGAGAAAATATTATGGTAACTTTCTTTTTAACTCGTATGATATGAGCTTTTCACTTTCAACAGGCCCTGTATAAATTCCAGTAGTATAAAGCTTATCGTATCACACGTGTGACACCGTTATAATGTTAAATGTCGGGTGTCACACAGCGGAATAACATTTCGAATACATTCAGGACACGAGTGTCAAGCGCTGCCCAATCACTGAACAATGAGGCTCCAACGGGAGTTGTTTTTGTATAAAATACAAATAGCTGACCTTGGTCGATATTGAATAGCCATGACGGTATTAGGACAAAGCTGAGAGTAAAAAAATGAAACCTGTGGGAAAAGGCAAGCGAAAAAACGAGCGTAAAGGACGGTCCAAAACCCCCAAAACAGAAAATAAACTGGATGTTTCGAGTTCTGAGAAGGAGAAAGACAAAGAAACAGATGAAATTGTGTCATCGTCGTCCCTTGACGATGTAAGCGGCGATAATAATGGTGACGAGATCGACCTGAACATTGGTCCTGAAGCCTTCCTCGGCTTCGATGACATCTCCATATATAATGATAACCCACCAGACGACGCAACTTTCCCTATCGAAGAACTCTCAGATTTGGTAGGTGCATGTATGAATGAAAAGCTATGTATTCATAATTTTAATTAGGGTGTCGAGGTGACCATCAAAAAGATTCAAGTCCACCTGGACTTTTGTCTAACAGTAAGTTGTATATCTCCCATTGATAATCTGTCCTTTCTTATTTGCTTTAAGACAAGCAGTGGTCCTAGTCTTGCTAAGCTTAATGGTACGATCAGCCCTCCATAAAAATACAGTGCAGGTGTTCGTCTCAAGGCGAGTTTCGTTGCTGTTGGCAAGTGGACGGAATCTGGGTCACTAGTTTTTCCAGTCAATACACTTTATTTCATTTCAGGCCCCTGGAATGGGCTTGATGTCACTAGTGGTTGGAGAGGGACCGCAGGCAGAAAACCTGAAGGGCATGATCTCTAACCAGACGGTGGCCCACGAGGTGAGGGTATGTCGTCTGGAGGAGGCGTTCGAGGCCTGTAACGTGCAGTGTTACCTCCTGATCTGGGTGCTCATTGACATGCCTGTGGCCCAGGGAGTCCTTAGTCTCACCACCTCCATCCGGTAGGAATATAGGGCTTATAATGCAATAGTATATGACTGATGGGAGTTTTCTTAAAAATCGTTTTCCTATGAACCATAAACGATGCAGAGTAATATTAAACATAAGTATATTATACTTTCATGTAAATTACTTGAATCTGATTCGTCGAGAAACATTTGTTAAAAAACACTATTACCCGCTGAATAATGAAGCCACGCCCTCCTGCTTAGCAACAGTCAACATTGCTTGACGACGGGTGATATTCCAAAAAATAGCGACTGCGCAGAATTTATGCGCGCACGGTTCTCTGTTATATGTATTTATATAAAACATTCAATATAATATAATAAATATTGCATGTAGTTGAGTGTAACATTGAAAATTTTCACCCCTCGAAAACCATGTCAACCCCGGCTGCGCCTCGGTTGACAGTGGTTTTCTTGGGGTGAAATTTCCACATTTAAAGTATACGTAATTCTTTTAATCTGTAAAGTCTTTGTTACACTGCTTATCATGTGATGTAAACTTGAAGCATGGACAACGGAACACTAAAATTGGATGCTTTTTAAAGATACACACAGTGGAATATCTTTTGTATCATTAACGTAATTGAGTTACAAAATTATTTCAAAAGGTATGTAGTATTGTTTTTTTCAAAGCCCGTGTGCGTGTAGGGAGGGGGAAGCTTGAACAAACAAAAAACAAGAAGGGGTTGTCCAAACTCGAAAGTCCTATTTCCTGTGGGAGGGGGTGGGGGATAGGTTCCAACTTCTTTCATAACAAAATGCAGAATACCAAGTCATCCTAAATATTGACTATATTGCCACAAAAAAACTATGTGAGGGGTTGGGTTGGGGTAGGGGATGGGCTTGAGCAACCAGCCTTTCAATAAACATTTTCAATAGTAAAAAAACCTCTTTGCAACACCCCCCCCTCCCCCCGATACAATGTGCCTGTTCTAAATGCTTTTTTCCGTACAGTAAAATGCGGTACTTTGGTTTTCGCCCATTTCCCTGACAGACACACGTTAGTGAATGTCACAAACTATTATTTACAATTATTTCGTATACTAGTATCTTGCTTGGAGTAATATGTGCTGTTCTGATTTGTTCTGCGCCTCGAAGAAAGCAGTTCATACAACTTCTTTACCGAAATTAAACGATTCCCGTGACCATACCCTAATCCGAGTTTTTGGATGTCCTGTCGTTTCACCAGAACTTTAGATTTCCTGATTATAGCAACAAAAAAAAGGGGGGGGGGACTTGTTGTGATGAAATAATACTTCCATTCAGAAATTTTGATATGCTGTGATGGGCTCAATGAATAGCTAGTTCGTTTCCTAGCTCTTTTCATTTTGAAATCCACAAAGCAGTTTTTTGCTTGGTACTTACTTTAGACCGTTGTCTGGTATGATGTGTATTCCTAAAGCTTTTTTCGACTCTCATTCATGTAATATTCAGGGGATTTAAATGAATAAAATGTAATAAAAAATAAAGAAGCTGCAGAACTGTAGCTCACAGAAAAAAAATATATATGGTCGTCTATCCAAATTTTTTTCGAACCAGCGAGCTACAGATCTGTGACATTAAGATGCATTTTTCGGTATGAAAATGTTTCTTGGAGAAAGTTTGTAGACTTGGTTAAAATGGTTTTGAAAAAATACAACATGTATATATAATTTTAAGTGAACAGTAATATGTTCTTTATTAGGTATGCAAGTAGTTGCAACAGAGGAACCGTCATCATCGGCGTATCTGATGGCTCAGCTGTTGGTAGGTCTCTCTCAGAAAACGTCAGCTTTGTGTCATCTAGTCTTTGCCTAATCTTTATTATAGCAATATTCTGTAGACGAAACTACTTTTTTTGATGATTTTAGCTGATTTGAGATTACATGGAATCGATGAAATAATTCTCCATCCTGTTACCAACAAAGACGTACGTGAGAAATACACGAACTGGACGTCAACACAAATCACTACAGGTGTGTCCTCTAAACAATTGACAGCAGATTTTACGTATGAAGTCAAATTAAAAATTATAAAACAATTTTACACAGAATGAAGAATCCATAAATAATAACATGGCGCACATATCACCCCCTTCCACTCCACCCTTTAAAAAAATTATAAACGGAAAGAAATCTTTTAAAAAAGTGAAAAAGAAAATCAAATAATTTTCAAAAACGATTTTTAGTGGACACGAAAGATACACAGGAGAGTGAACCTCCAGAATTTTCAGAACCGGCAACGCCATCAACCCCTGCGACTCCGACAACACCATCCACACCTGCCTCCGAAAGTGGGGACGGATCTAGTGTGGCGTAAGAAATACCAGTGATAAATAAAGATGCATTTGAAATATGCATGCACGATGCAGTTTTATTTCTAAAGTTATCAATTTCAAAGATGAAATTGACTATACGTGTATAGTTTATTTCAACAGTGCACAAAGCAGACGACTTTTGCACTTTTTGTTTTACATTTGGCAGGATATCTTTGGACAGTGGTATAGAATCCCCTGCATTTAACCAGACTTTAAACAAGTGCTCAGTGCAACTGCCGTCATTTTCTCAACTTAAAGCCATGGTACCCAAACTAAGACAAAACAAACCACCTAGGAATAGCAGTGCTATTGACCACACAACAAAGGAGAAAGTTAGAAGGTAAAATAAATAATATTGATAAGAAATGGTTCTATATTATTTCCACTGAAATTCTTAAGAATGAACATTGGAAATGTATCACTGAGGAATTATAATTCTATTCCAATTCTCTATGTAGAGAACGAATTAAAGACAGCTGTGACCAGTTGAGAGTTTTGTTACCTTACGTCAGGGGCCGCAAAACAGACATGGCTTCCATACTGGAAATGTGTGTAGAGTATCTGAAACTTGTTAATGAATCACTGCCCCAGGAATTTCAAAATCAGGTACTTCTACATTGCTTATTAAGTACTTTTTTAAAAGAAAAGATGCCAAAATGTTGCTTTCATTTCTACAGCTTATCACATGATTGTATGGTACAAATGGTACATGTAGATGAATTTGTATGATGATACAAGTACATAAGTAACGATACATTATTTGTTTTGTTGATAGATAGCTGAACTGATGACAAAAGGTCCTTTAATTGAGGGAATAGGTAGAAATGGGAAGAGATGTGAAAAAGGAGGAAAATCTACCAGAGTACCAATGTCCCCAGGGGAGTCCAACATAGTGACGTCATCTATAGACTCAGAGTAAGTCTGAAGACTAGATGATATACTGTGGTGTTTATTACATGTATATAATTTAGAACAAATATAAATACAAAATTGAAGATGATTATACTATGAGGTGCCGTTTTGGTATTTACTGGCAAAAAGTGATATCACCTATTCGAATTGGTGATATCACCTATTCATTTTCAATAGGTGACATCACCTATTCAAAAAGGTGATATCACTTATTCGAATAGGTGATATCACCTATTCGAATAAGTGATATCATTTATTTGTGCTGAATAGGTGATATCACCTTTTCAATTTGAATTAGTGAAATCACCAATTCGAATAGGTGATATCACCTATTTGAATTTCTTACAACAAATAAATAATGAATGCTCCCTATAATGTATAGATTACCACTGGAACCAAGAAAATTCGGACTACCCAGTTTTCATGCGTTTTTCCAATTTTTCTTAAAGTGTACATGATAGATAAGTGAAATAAATTAATTTGTGAGCAAAACAAACTACAATTTCTATTGGGGTTGATTAAAATTAAAAGCAAAACTGTAATCTATTGTCTCCTAGAATGATGAGTTGTAAAACGAAAGTGAAAGTAAATAAGATTTAGGGACCTATATTCTTGGGAGCTGTTGTTATTTCAAAAATAATTTGAATAGGTGATATCACCTATTCAAATAAGTGATATCGTCTATTCAAAATGATATGGTGATATCACCTATTCAAATTAGTGATATCACCTATTCGAATAAGTGATATCACATTTTCGAATAGGTGATATCACTTATTCATGTAGGTGATATCACCTATTCGAATAGGTGATATCACCTTTTCAAAATCTGAATAGGTGATATCACTTATTCGAATAGATGATATCACTTTTTGGCAGTAAATACCAAAATGGCACCCCATATGATAGATTTTTTTAATTTTAATTTTGTAGACAATTGAGCAATGAAGAGTCTAAACAGACAGGTTTCAAAAGAGGTAAGTTTTTCTTTTACAGTTTAACAAGGATCTATTTTACGCATTGCTCTTCTTTGAATAAGTTGAATTTGTATTTTCCCCTCAGATTTGGTGGATGGAAATGGAAGCCAGTTCCCAGTGAAAAGGATCCGAATCCAGTCAGGAACAGAGGAATACAGTCATGTCCAGAAACCTCAGACTGTGCTGCCCTCTATTGAAGCCCTGAAAGTCACAAAGAAAGAAAATAACTTCTCTGGGCTAGGTTAGTACTAAAAAGTCTGTGTTTCCTTTAACTATCAAGGCATTAAATGTCCCATAATGAAATTACATTTTTGAGCCACCATACTTTAATGAGAATAGAAAAAAGATATAGATATTAAAATTTCAGAATTTTAATATTTTTGTCCCCTGCATTTGTTCAAAGAGGGGATATTATAAATTTGAGTTTATATGTTTAGTTGTCATTCTTTCTGTATATAACGCTTAAGTGTCTGGATGATATCTAAAACCATTGACAGCAATAACAGAGTATAAGTGATTTAATTTTGAATTCATCTTTATTTTCATCTGAAACGATCTTTACAAGGTTATATTAGGAGATAAAATAAGTAATGCTAGAGTTACTTTATTATTCAAAAGAAATTTGATAACTTTATTTCATGCTATTTTTTGCAATTTTAGCAAATTTATTGCACAACAATTAAAGGTATAATATTTTTTTTAATCCAGACCATACCCCCTATTCTGGATACCCCTATCACCAGCTCTCTCCTCATCTACTGTATGGTGAGTACGATCCCCCCTGTCGTGTGTATGGTGCTTATGACGGATACATCGCCCCTCCTTACTACACCCCCACCACCCCCAACAAACAGCAGATGGAGCGAGAGAGTGTCTACATGGACAGCCAGATGCTGTTTCACTTCTACAGCAATGGAGCCATGGCCAGCGGCTTCAACATGAGTGGTCTAACGGATTATGTCAATCCTAATGCAGTGTTGCCTATTGCATACAGCAAAAGTAAACCAGATGATTTGCAGGAGCAATCTTCTCCAGTTTCTCATACCAAACCTGGATAATTTATACCAAATATAGATTCAGTAGACTAAGTATTGACCAAAGTTTTGACCAAATATAGGACCTGCCAAAAAAAATTCCAAAGGATGGGGAGAAAGGTATATTACCATTCCAAAAATTAATTATAATAAATTAAAAAATCAACAAGGGTTATATTTAAACTAGTGCCATCATTCAGATTTAGATGATGGGCTTTGTTGTTGTTGATATTTTATTGTTTTTCTTCTGTAGTCAAAAGAAAAGAAAGAATCTGGTTTGTGTTTAGACTATTATTTGCTTTGTTAAATTTGGTTGCTGCAGCAACTGATACTTTTTTTGTTTTGTTTCACACTGCAGACTAAAGACAGTCGTCAGATATGTTAATTTTATTTTTTTTGTATTTGCTCATCTGAGTAGAAAGCACAGGAGAGCTTTTCTTGTGAAAATTTTTTTTGAAATGTCCGCTAATTTGTTACGTTTTTGACTTCTTCTTTAAACCTTCTGCACAATATTACCTAATATTTACATCCACTAAATATTTTCTCCTTTATTTCTTAAGAAAACCCATTGCGTTAATCACTGCATGAACTACAATAGGCATGTCGCCTGTACAGATTTCTTGATCAGTGGCTGTTCCATCAATGAAACGTATAAAGACATTCGTATCATTAATACAATAATTATTAATCTTTTTAATCCTACTTTAAATTATTATTTAAACAGATATGAATATAAACAATAAAAGGTTTGTTATTAGTATAACTGTGAACATTGTTTCCAGAAAAAAAATTTTATTGTTTAAATTATCACCAAAAATATCTTAGAAATATAACTGTTCAAAAAAAAAATACATGTATTTGCAAATCCTTTTCTTCAGAATAAACTCAATAAAGTGAGAAAAATGGTAGTGATTGAACCCCCCTTTCCATAGAGAAATAAACTGGTATTTACATCATTTCCACAGGGAAGAATGCGGTAATATCACCTAAACAAAAAAAAAGGTTTTGTTTTATTGTGAAGCTTTGAAGTAGGAAATATTGTCCCTGTCTGAATTGACTAATACACTTACTGGGCCTGAAAAATTAATTAGAACATACGTGAGAGGCATTCTAGCGTTAATCTAAGATGCCACTTCCTATGACACGTTTAGTTTTGTTATGACTGTTTATATACCGATATCAATGTTACTGTTAACTTTGTATTATTTAAAATAAACCCGTTATAAGCAGTATAATAGTCTCTCTTATCATTATATTTGGTTCATCATACGTTCTCCACAAAGGGTTGTACGAGGGTAGAGATTAAAAAAAAACTAATGATACAAAGAAACGTTTTTGTCAATTTGTCTACAGAACAAGATGTGTTTGTGAAACACTAATGCCCCCGTATGGCAACATGGCAAAGATTAAACTTTTCTTAAAATCAAATTGAATATATTGGTACCCAAAGTAGGGTCTTCTCACAAGAAATACAGTTGTAAATATGAAAGCCTTAGCACCACCTGTTCAAAAGTTATGGCCAATGATAAGTTTTTAAAAGGAAGGTCAAACTCCAAGGTCAAAGGGTCTAAGTTGTTGGTTTCTTGTCACAATGATTACATATGTGAAGTTTGAAAGTCCTAGTGCATGTATCTACCGTTCAAAATTTATGGCCAAAGTAAAAGTTTGGAATTTTTGTGTAAAAGTGTGTCCAACTCCCAGGTCAAATCAAATTTGAAGGTACCAGAAAGAAAGGTCTTGTCACAAGGAATACACATGTGAAATATGAAAGTCATAGCTCCACTAAATTAAAAGTTAAGGGCAAGGTTAAAGTTTTTGCGGACAAACAGACAGACAGACGGACGTGCACAACAAAAACTATATACCCCCGAATTTTCGATTACGGGGACATAAAAGCGTGCGTGAAATAAGAAAGCACTAGCAGTAACCCTTTAAAGGTTCTGAGGTTAAAGTTTTCAAAAGGAGGACAAGGTCAAGGGGTCAAAATTTGTGGTGCTAGAGAAAAGGTCGTCACAAGGAATAAACTTGATATATGAAGGTCCTATAGCAACAATTGTTCGAAAGACATGCACAAGTTTAATTTTGTTCAAAAGGAGGCCGAACTCTTAGATCATGGTCAAAGGGTAAAATTGTTGGTACCCAAAGAGAAGGCTTGCCACAAGGAATATACCTGTACCTGTATTATAAAAAAGGCCCAAGCAGCAACCATTCAAAAGCTATGGTCAAGGTAAAACTTTAGAGCTTGGATCAAACTA